TGCGCCGGCCCCCCCGCCACGCCCCCTGCACGGACGCACCCGAGCAGCAGCGTTCTCTACGGTGGTGTGCGTGCGGCTTCCGTCCGTCCTCAGCCTTCCATGCGGCTGCCCAGCTCTGCTTCCAGTTCTCAGCCTCCCCAGCTCTCGTTCAGCGCTCAGGTCAATGTTTCTGGCACGGCCCGCTGGGGCGCGTGGGAAGCACGTGGCAGCTCCTGCCCCGGTGCAAACCCAACAGCCTGCACAGCTGATGAGCAGCAGAAACACAGCGAGAGCCGCAGCTCTACACACTTCCACCTGCGACCAGCCCCCCGGTTTGGTGTCCGAGCCCAGCTTTACTGTGAGCAGGCGGACTCGGCATTAGGCCGTAAGCGGCCAATTCTCGCTGCAGGAGGGTTCTGCCGCTCCCCGTCGTGTGCCTGGGGCTTAGTTTGAGGACGTAACGGCCCGTGCTGCACGTGCGTAAAGGTAGGTTCCAGGACCAGCTCTTTCCTCATCTGCACTGGGGAAATAAAAGACTGACGTGGCCTTTTCTTGCAAAGAAGCAGAATGGGAACAGGGACACAACTACTGAATTACTAAACTGCCTTCATCATGACATTAATATGCTAATGACCTGTGTCATCAGCTGCTCTCAACTCTTCACCATATTTCCACAGCATTGGCGTAGGTAACACACAAGCAGAACACAGTGCTGCTTCAACAAGGGACTGGCGTTGCCCACGTGCTGTTCCACTGTAAGGCATCGTGTTTGGCGTTGGCTTGCTGTGATCAAAAACCAGGGTGTTTTGGAGCTGGGGTAGAAAAGCACCTTAGGGCGGCCTTTGAGCTCATTGCAGGTCAGAGCTGTGTTTTGCGAGGCTGCCCGGTCCTCGTCGAGTAGCAGATGCGTATCGCTACAGCACCCTTAACAGCACAGCAATGAGAAGGGGTCTCTTCTAACGGGGGGGGGGGGGTGAGTGTCACTTGCCTGCTCTGGAATAAGAACAACTGTTTCTTGCTCTTGTGGTTCCGCTTTACAGCCTCATAGCACACACCCTGTGTCTTTTTAACCCAGGAATGAATACTGGGGCCTGCCGGCACTGCAGCTCGTTAAGACCTACGAGAAGATAGTGTCTAAGCCTTGTTTCCACAGCAGAAGCTTAGCAGCAGAACAGTACCCGTGTTACTGCAGTAGTCAGACTGGGGTATATTCCCCTCTTGGGTGTTTGTTCCAGAGTAACTGTAGCAGTCCAACTATTAAAGATAAGGACTCTTTATTTCAAGTAACAGAAATTGATTAATATATAAAATTCACGGGAAAATGTTTTTCTTAACATCTGTTTTCCATACATCATTACATGTACTTACATATGATTTGTACCTGAAATGAAATAAAACATCTTAAGATGGATTAATAGAAAGAAATAACTTAGAATAAAGAACTTTTCAGTCAAGCTGTAGATAATGTTAGGTTGTATATACTTTATGCACTTCCCTCCAGGGGCAGCATCTTTATCTTTAAACATGAAAATGAAATGTAGCATGGACAGATGATCTATTTCCTTAAATAAAAATCTCTGTGCAAAAGATTTTTCATTTTGCATCATAACTATGATTTCTATAGGAACATTAAGGGGACAAATTTTACAATTCTAAATTAGTGTTTGCGTTCATCAAGGTGGTTTTGTTTTGTTCTAAGACAAGGAGTTGTTTGAGCCCTTCCGACAGCGCACCACTGTCTTCGTCATCACTAAATGTAACCCAGTGACTGAAACCTTTCAAGCTGGGGCTTTTTAAATTTTCTGGAGTGTGCGCTGGAGAAGCAGCTGATGCCACCTGTATGGGAAGAGGGCAGGAAGAATCCGTGTCCAGGTCCAAAAGACTGGCGTTCTCCGGAAGGGAGCTGGTGTCTGCGAGTTGTGGATGCTGGCCTTCTGGTGCGGGAGGGCCCTGAAGGTCCGCCACTGGTTCTGCAGCACTTGGTGCCAGCTGTGTGGTTGTGGTGTTTTCTGGGCTGGCAGAGGATGGCGGAGCCGAGAGAGCAGACTGCGAGGGGACGCAAGCGCCCGGAGGCTGGGGGCAGGGCCCGGGATTGCTGGCGTTGGAGTTGAACGTTAACCCACTAAAAAGCGGGTTGTCGCTGCTCTGGAGAACTTGCAGATGAAGAGCTGCAGGAGCTGACTTCTTTCTGCGTGGTGGCACCTTTGGGGCAAAGGGAGCGCTGGGGGGAGGCAGCGCGCTGGCCTCGGCCGTGCTTGCCGAGAGTGGCTGCCTTTCACTGCTCCCCCTGCTCTCCTGGGGCTTCCCAGGTTGGGGTGTTCTGGGCTTAGGGACCGGAGTCACCCTGGTTGGACTGAGAATAGCTCCGGCTTCCAGGCAGGGCTCTGGCAAGTCGAAAGGAGACTGGACTGTCTGCTGGTTGAACTGCTCTTCTGTAGACACGGCCTGAGGGGGAAAAGGAACCAGAGTTTTGAGAAGAAAAAGGGTACGTTAAGCTCTGAGTCACCACTAGTGCAAGTCCTACTGATGGGTTACTGAGAAAAGCTGACATACTGGAAGGAAAAAAAAAAAGCAGTCCGAGGTCCAAGGAGGAGGCTTGACAGCACAGATTTACACGGTACCTGCTTGGCTCTGCTCTCACGCATCGTGCCTTGGACCGATGTTCATTTACAGAGTGCTGCTGGTGGACAAGGATCCTACAGCCTGTTCACTCCCTGTGTGAGGAACACAGCTCTTCCTGACCATCTCTCTTCCATGTTAGGATTTTGCTCCGGGCCAAATTAACACAGTTCTGAAGAGTTATTTATTTGTTACATCTCTCCACTGACTAATATTATTTAAGCAAGAATGCATAAGGAGGGTAAAATTAACAGGGCCATTAGCACACGCCAACAGGTGTGTTCTGATACACAAGGCTGAAGGACAGTTCGCTTAGGGTAACCCAAGAAATGCACTCACGGCTCTGTCACGTCTCACTGAGGCTAGGAACTGAAGCTAAAAGTAAGCTCTCAGAGTACAGTCTAGCAACATTCAAAATTACGTAAGTAACTGGAACCAAGCTCAGTCCAAGAAGGCAAGGGCTGCTTCGGATTTCTCACACTCAGTGTGACTGAATGAAAGCATTTTAATTCTTTATTACTTTCCCATAGCATTAAAAGGTAATATACAGGCTTTTTAATGCACTCAAAATATTTAGTCAACATTTCATGATGGACATCTCCCCTGCCACGTCTGTCTATATGCTGTTGTTAACTTGCATGTTTTTTTAACAGTGGAGGTGGATGGGGCAGAGGTTTTCAAGTACACAACTCCCATCTGAACTGACTCAGAGGATGGAGTGGAAGTCTGCAGTAGAGTCAAACTGAAACAGATATATTCCTGCAGGAGACTTCATATAACTGACACCAAAACAGCAATCTCTCTCAGCACCTTTCAGGAGTGCCCTGGGAATGGCGACAACATAAACAAAACAAACAGACCATTCCTTATTACTGAATGTTTCAGGAAAGGGCACACACTGCTGGCTGCTTTTTTTCTTTCGTGAATCTGCTAAGCAGAGATAGGACACAGAGTCTGTGATGCCTTCACAAAGGAAGGTAAGGCAGGAGTCCTAGCAACTGAGAAGCGCGCTTCCTAGCAGAGGTTCTGTCAAAGGGAGAATATAAAAGGTTATATTTGTCTTTCTCTTGTCCTTACATTGCTTTCACCATTAAATACTCATTTTAGCAGCTCCAGAGGTGAAGAAGTGTTATCTCCATTGTAGAGACCTGAGAGAGAGACAGATGAAAACCCCAATACCTATGGGTTTGTATTTCTAAGAACCTGAACTCTTGAGTAGAATCCAGAATCCAAAGCGACAGGCTGAATCCCATTGTAAGGTGTGTGAGAGCAGTTAGACGTTTCTGAACAGGACACAGAACGGCACACCAGTCAAGAAGCCACCTCAAATCAATACCGAGCAGACCCCTCATCGTGTTGTCAGAAGTAAACACTGTGATAAAGAAGGGATGAGTCTTAGATCCCAACAAGGTTTAGATAAACCAGAAGGAAAGTAACACGACCTAGAAGAATGGACTGACAAATAGAAAAGCTGAATACAGCTGAGAAAGGAAGTCAAAGCTCTTTCTCCTTCCCGATTGCCTAGTATATTTTTATGCCTTGCTGGCTACAATGCACAAAATCATTTCAGTGCCTGCTGGCTAAGAACTTAAAATGACAGGACTTCATACAAACTGTTTAACAGCCTGCCCCTCTTGCCGTCGTGCACACTGTGTACTGGAGGCTGGATGCATTTTGCTGCAACTATCTTACATTTTCCGCCTTGACTCCGGTCCTTTGCAGAGGTACTGGCTTCTTCGTAGCTGGAACTTTGGGTGGTGGGCGATGGGGCACAAGCACTGGTCCTGCTTGCGACCCTTGAACTGATGCTGACTTTGTGATGCTGGGGAGAGGCTCGGGTTTGGCGAACACCTGGTTTCTAGTCGGAGCAGACTTTAGTGCATCTTCCTGTAGTCCTGAAAAGCAAAAATAATCAGCATCTTGGCTTGATCAGAATGTAGCTTGAAGATAATTTCTTTCACAGTCATATTTCCCACCATGTGCACGCCTAAAGGGAAGGTGCTCAGGCCAGGAAGACAGGTTTTGGAAATAAACACAGACCTCTGCAATCCTGTCACATTTGTAAGAGGCAGTTATGGAAAAACTCCCCTGTCCGAAATAAGTTCACACCAAAACAGCAGCACTGTGCCACCGTTTGGCCAAGTGGATAAAACACTGGCTGGGGGTTCAGGAGCACTGGACGCAAGTCCGGAGTCTCCTTTTGCCCTCGTTTCCTTATGTGGATAATCAAGATAATGATACCGAGCGTGTCTGAGAGTACTTTGGGAAGAACTGTAAATGCCAGCTGGTGGTACGGCACCAGGGATGGAAAGTGATGCTGACCGGACTCGTTTCCTCACCCACGCTGAGTGAAATGCTTAACATGAATTTCAAAATTAATGGAGAGTGAATCTGATTTCAAAAATAAATGTAGAGCACGCTCTGAGGAACAAACATCAAGATGCTATTATGACATTTCTAATTAAATTGGATTATTCCAGACAGCATTTGCTCTATTTACAAATGAAAAGGGACATTATTCTCCTCAACTGAGAGCCTTGCAAACTCGGGAGCGATCTTGGAGTCGTACTGCATTCTTTCTCATTCATACAGCATCAGCAGAAAGACTGCTCGCAGCCGTGGAGGGTATATTCACACTGCCTACGTTTCAACACCTAAGCTAGTTACCTGCTCTAACTTGCCTGTGCCAGAAGCTTTCTTCTCCATGGATTAGATAGAGAGCCTAAACACAGAGCAGTCTTTTAGTTTAGCTATTCAAGCTAAAGTGGTGCAAGCTTCTGTCCAGGTTACAACTATACTTGCTGTCCAAACGTGAACAGAATCTAGGTTATTTCTACCACAGCTGTATTTGCTCTCTAGTTCTGCTTGGAATAGTGAGCACTCGCTAAACAGAGCAGCAAACACCCTTTATGCAACTCTGAGGCATAACACAGGCACCACCAGTTTAGTAAGATCCAATCTTTATCTTCTAATTTTTCAGGACATAAATAAACCAAGGTGCTCCTAGTAACAGGTTCTACATTGCTGTAGAATATACAGCTTGAGTCATCTTGAAAAAAAAGTTGGTATTATCAAAACTGACAGAGAGCACCAAATACCATCTTGCAAGAAGGTGTACACCAGTGTTCAGGTGACCTTCTGAATAGAAATATGTGCATCTGGGCTATGGCGGGAACGATGACTACACCTACAATTTTCTTTATTTAAAGATTTTTACAAGTCAGTTAGAAAGCTCTGCTCACCTGCTTTAGCTTCCATAAGACATCTAATAGCTTCTTCTGCTTCCTCAGCTGTGGTGGTTTTGATCTGCTTGACATTGTAAGGTTTACTTATTCCAGTCCGGACTTTAGGCTTTAAAAAAAAAAAAGCAAACAATTAGTAATCTTGAGAAAACTGGTTTTTCTTTTACACCTGTACTCTTCTAGCTGAGCTCACACACCTATATAGTTCTGGTTTTGCCAGTGGCTATTCAGCAATCTGTAAATACTACAGAAACGGTGAGGAGTCTTTTGACAGATATTACATCTTTGCCACCAGCGGACAGACAGGCCACAGCTCGTCCCTTAGCCATCCCTTGTTCAATGCATTAGGGTTCTTATCCAACGAGACAGGAGTGGGGAGGTGTTTCCACATTCCTGTTTTGGCCTACTTGGAGGGCTAGCAGCCTTGCTAGCAACGGTCAAGACACTTCTGGTACGCTGGGCCCTAGCACGGCCCATCAGAAAAGAGGTGAGAACAGAATTCAAGCATATTATCATGCTGTTGAAAATTCCACTTAGCATCTGTCAGAAAGCAGCATGTGGAATAAACCAACAGTGCCCTGGTCTCGCACCATTCTCTCTCTCCCTCTTTGGCTTTTCTAATTCCTGGCAATTTAATAACATTTTTCTGATGTCTAACAGGTCCTACAGTCCAATATTGCAGTACAACGAGTTCATCTTGGCATTGCCAGCTCAGGCATGCGAGGGACTTCCTTCATGTACGACAGGTGCATCATGGATGTGATGCTCAGAGTCTACGGTGCTAGATAGATGGGGGAGCTGAGGACAATGCTCAGTGGCCACGCTGTGCGGCAGGACTCACTGGCTGCTGAGGGGCTCCGGGTAGCAGCTTTGCCGTTGCCAGGATGGAGCAGGTGGAGTGGCTTCCTGGACAGAGGGCACCATCTGAGGGGGACTTTTTGCCTGATGTTCCAGCTGAAAGAGGAATAAAAATGGCTTTTTACATTCAAGAACTGGTACAACATTTTATCTGCAATGGAGCTTTGAAATTGTTTGCGATAAATAAAAGAGGCACTGTCACCCTCCCTGCTCCTCCAGGGGCAGACATGCTAGGCAAGACCTTCCTGCAGGACAACGGGACTCTGAGTTCCTCTGCCTGAGTGCAAGACACTTTAATCTAGAAGGAGTGATGGGCTGAACTGTTACTGGTCTAAGGTGAAAAAAAATCTCAACACATAACAAAACACTGAAATTTTGAACTGTATCAGGAAGCCATTTCCTAGTTATTCTTGCTTTCATTTAATTAACTTAATAACCTGTCCTGGTTTTGGTTAAAACAGAACCGACTCTCTTTTAGTGAATCTTTCTTACAGCTACGCTCTTCTAAGTAACTGCATTTTTCTGAAGCTGGCTGCGTATTTTACAGACACTGTCTGCTCCAAAGCTGATAACACCTAATGTTTATAGTTACACTGCGCTAACGGTAGGAAAGGAATGCAGAAAAAGGCCTCTGTTTATAATTATCACTATAGCAGCCAAGGTCTCCAACAGATCTCTTCGGTCCCGCAAGTGAGGAGTCAGAAGGGGTCGTATTTGCGGGGAGGGGCGGACAGGACAGGTGACCTGATACTGACCCACGAGGTATTCCACACTGTGCATGTCACACTCAGTTTAAACTGGGGGATCACGAGGGTCTCGCTCTCTTCATTCACAGCCGCCTTCTGAAGAGGACCATGCTCGTTGTTCTACCTCCGATCCTGATCCAGATCCGTGTGTTCCTGAGTCCAGTTCCTGCCCACTGCCAAGGCCAGTCTGGGACTGCCTGGTGCTGCCCAGCAGCTGCTGGTGGGACGCCAGCACCTGGCACCCAGCTCCGGGAAACTCAAAATTGGTTTTGCATATCTTACATTATTTCTCTTATTATTAATATTATTAGTATTACTAATGTTATTAGTAAAACTTTTTATATTCAGTTTGTAAGTCTCTCTCCCTTTTCCTCCTTTTCCCTTTCTCTGGTGGGAGGGCGGGGGTTAATAGAGAGCGTCTGTCACTCAGTTTACTGACGCCCTGCTTTAAACCGTGCCATAACCTCAGCTGAGCATTAACACTGCGTTCCACGCACAGAAATACAGATACCAGTGTTGTCACCTCTGTGCAACAGACTCGGGAATGAATGGGAATAATGCCGAAGAACTCATCTTCCAGCAGTGAGTCTGACAGAACCTGCTATTTAAGACTGGAAAATATACACAGAAGAGAGACTTTTGGGTTGGAAGAAAAATGCGATGTATAGCTTGTGTCATACAGAAGGCAAAGATGATTATGCTGATCCAGCAAGCAGCATTCATCCAAAAGGAGCCATAAAACCAGGAGCAGCATAGCACTGATGGCATCTCAGGTGGGTAGAGCTTAGGTAAAGAGCATCACTTTGTGCCTCACTGAAAATCATAAGCCACTTTGCATTTCTTTCATGAACACAAAAACAAGCAAGAATTGCTTGCAAAGCAGGAAAAGATAAAAATTATCCAGAACAAGTACTTTGTCAAAGCTTTTTAAAAGGAAGATTACAATTAAGTCAGAAAAAAACAAACTGTAAGAAAACACTCAGTGGCTTTGGAAGTCAGCAGGCATAAATACCGATATCTATTTTTACTGCCACAAAGTGGCTGGCCAACTCGCTAACCTGAGTGATGAGTTAGCATGAGACATATGGGCCATTTCATCCTCACTAAAGGCTTTTTTTGTGGAGTACCTGTCATCCTAAAGACAAACTTCTCCCGTTGCGAACTGCAGCCATAGCCAAGCTGACACAGTCTGGGAAGCAAGCACAAGCACCTCAACAGCCTGACGTTTCAGAATAAGGTATTACCTTCTTTGTCACCCAGAAATGGCAGGCTGAGGCCAACACACCATTAATGGAAACCAAACTCACCAGGAGGGGGAGGCCTCTGTGGCGGCTGAAGTGGCCGAGGCCTGGTAGGAATGGACAGAGACCTGCTGGGAGTCCGGCGGCGGCATTCCCCGCTTGCCTCCAGCTCTCGCTTCAAATCAGCCAGGTCTGTATCATCTAGGGAAATTTTAGAAAGGATCTGTATTAGAAACCTGCTGGGTGAGACACACCAAATCTGGGTGGTCAGGAGAGAGGCGATTATGACTGGCAAGCCTTCATCAGATAGCAACACAACGTTGCTCCTTTCGCATTGTTCTGCTGTCCCGAAATGCCTCCCTGCTCCCACTCCAGGAAACATCGACCCTTTTGTCAAACAATTCTCTCAGTCCTTTTCCAGCATTTATTAACTCTTTGTGCCGACACAAAGACTGCCTGCACCTGATTTCAGGGTTACTAGTCACAGCTTGGTAGATTCTGAGCTTTTCACAGCCAGATTTGGCAGCAACCTGCTCTCATTCGAGCTGTGTCATGCCAGCCACGAGGAGGTTAGTCGTGGTCCATCTCTTGCTCTTCTTTCCTGAACACAGGAATTCCCTCTGAGGATTAGACAACTTTCCTTACTCAGGAGAAGTTTTTACGCCAGAGAAAAAAAATCTGAATGGCTCACTCTTCACACCTCTGCTTTCCAGCAGTGTCTTCTAACAGTTAGACCTGCCTCAGGCTGATAGCCCTGGGCTGCACCTTACATGGCTAGGTGAGGACACAGTCTTTCAGCCCGTTTAACCCTCTCTGACAGCTGGAGAGGCAAGAAGGAGGGACTGCTTTAGTCTCCCAGTCTGCTGAAGTGAGGGCTTTCACTGCGGTGTTCTCACACTGCCACGGCTGCCCAGCCATGCAGTTATGTTACTTAGGGCTCCAAAATACACTGCATTTAGTTTTGTCCCTGTGGTTTGGAGAGGTTGGGGAAGGAACTGTGGTAGCAGCAGTCTCTCATTCTTCAGGCATTTTTACACAAGCTCCTGTTTTTCAGAAAGCTGTGCTCTGCGGGGAATACCGAGCTGCCTCATGGTTTCCTACTCCCACTCAGCAGCGGATGGCAGCCACAGAGACACAGCCTGTGATCTGCCCAACCCGCCCCCCTCCTTCTTCCTGCATTTTCAATACTTCTAAGCTGCAGATATGGGCTCATCGGTAGGATCCAAGGAGTCATGCAGGCACCTAAATGCACGGCTTGGAGTTCTGGCAGTAACACCGAATACAAGACAAAAACCAGCCACCACCACTCTATCCCGTCCCCTAAAAGGCTGCTGCTTTTGGTCAACAGCTCCCAGAGACAGCAGTTTCGTGAGGCTATGCCCTTCTCTGACCTCCAACAGACACACACGCACTGCTCTGCCTGTCACTGGTTTCCATCTGTGTCTAAACGAGCTATACAATCGTCATACCTTCAATTAGGAGCTACTCAGGCGGAATTGGAAGCTTATGGAGGCATCTAAAATTGCAGAGACTTTCAAGATGGATTGAATATATCATATTTTGAGTTGTGTGAGATCATGACCCCACCTTGACCTCATTCAAACCATACTTTAGAATCTCCATTTACTTTGTGGTATTTTTTGTGGAGAAGAGTTAGTGTGGGTGAAAGGAATCACTGCAATTCTCTGTACCTTAATGAATCATCACACAGTAGGCCAGAGGTGTTTGGAGGGCAAGGCATCCTATAATACAAAGTGATTGGCTTCACAGTATTTAATAACGACAGATTACTCCTTGGCTTAGGGCTAGGTTTCTGGGTCTGGCCACACGGCACCCAGCATACGACTCAAGGTGGGCAAGAAAGCTGTGTATCACTCTGATTGTTTGGAAAACCTGTCTGTGTAAACTTACAAATTTCATTTCATCTTTTTGAACTCTATTTCTGACTCAACCTTTGAAGGTATTAAAGCTTTCACTTTTATGTCAGAAGACAAAACACTTCGGCGAGAGTGCAGAAAGACAGCTACCGAATCACTTGCTGTCATGATGAAGTGTTTAATACACGACCCAGCCTGTCAATGTTTGGCCACTGCAGCATGTCCTGATCACATCCCAGTAGAAGACCACCACTGATTTAGCTAGTTCTTGCTGCAGTTTTTATCTGTGTTCTCTTCACAGCTTTATCTTCTCTTTACCAAGTCATTTCACAACAACGTGCAAACAAGCCAGGTGACCAGCAAAAAAGGTAACACATTCATGAAGCACTAAAAGAATGAATACACCTGCTGTGTGAACCTCAGCTTCTTCAGAAATAAATAAAATAGGAACAAAGGAGAAACTTTAGGCTTCCTTGAAGTAAGTCATTTGAACACAAGAGCCTCCTGGACTGTCCAGCTTACACCTGACGGCACTGCTACAGCTATTGCTCAAAGAACAGGGCCAAGCCCATCACTAGGATTCCTTTGGTTTGACTTTGCTCTGGCCCTCACCAATAAGAAAATAATGGACAATTTTTTGTTGTATGCTCTGGTGCTAAACAACATCAAATGGACAAAAAGTCTGAATTTCTCCCATCTATAAAAGGAAATCAGCATTTCTCAGCACTCCTGCCTTGCCCTGGACTAGAGAGAAGGAGGCTCTAAGCCTTATTATTTGTATGGCTGGTATGCCTGAGGGCCTCCGTTACAGTCTACTAACTCAACTGTACAAACATGTGCCAAAAAGATGATCCTTATCTTTGGACGACCTACAGTGAAAACATAAATAAACAGGGAAATACAGACAAAAGGACAACAAACAACAAACCTTCAGTTCTTACTTTAAGGATTGTAGATAATTTACCTTTATACAGCCGTGAGTTTTGTCCAGATTTGTTTGCATGATCTATGGAGGTGAAATGTCCACAGCCCTCAGGCATATCTTCTGCTGTGTCTGCTACTAGGTCTTGACACAAAGCATCATCTAAATAATCATCTTCATCCTCCACTATATCACCTGAATTAAAATATTAGATAACAAGGACCTAGTGAGCAAATGCATTCTCTGTCTCTCTCTACTACCAACCAATCAATTTAATACACGGGTTGAGCAAGCTTCTTGTGCAACCCATGTGTTTCATTACAGTTTGTTTCTATGCAGACAACCATACCATACACTGGATTTGCTAACATATACTATAGCACTAAACTGATAGGAGGATCTAAGCAATAATTCTCTGCGTTGGCACAGTGCCAGGTCGTGGCTTTAGCTACAATCCTCTTTTTAAGAAGTGCGGTTTCATTACAAATTAAGATACCACTAACATTCATTCTGCACCTTCTCTGTGCAAGCAAAGTCAGCAAAGCAATTTCTCACAACTTAGCTTAGAAACCTGGTGTTCACCTTCTGAGTCATAGTCCAAAGTAGAGAAGTCAAAATTTTCTTCCAGAAGACAGGAGTTTGCTGTGGGGGACGTGGGGGCAATGCTGTCCCGCTTTCGAGCAATTTCCTCCTGAAGGCCCTTTAGCCAGTCCTTGGTCTTGGGCCGGATCTTCACTGTTCTGCCTCTGACCTAACACAAAGAAAGAATTGTTTCCCCTTTGCCAAGCAACTCACAAAATCAGAACATCTGAACAGAATAAACAAGAAGTGCTGCCAGCCTGTTGTACAACTGCTTCAGAAACTGATACAACTAAAGCTTCATTTCAGAAGCTAAATGAAAAGGAAGCACTCTTCCTACCCCCATAACCAACTTTTCAGACTGTAACAATGTTCTTGAAAAAAAATTAGCTGCACAGCTCAAAAGCACCGCATTTGGGAAATACTTGATAAACAGGTGAAACATTAAATATCATCAAAATTATACTGTGATAGTAATAATGGTGTGGGAGGTTCCATTTTTGAGTCAGCAGCTTTAAACCACACAAGTTTGCTACCTGCTGCCACCCGTAAGGCGACTCTCTGCTCAGAACATCCCAAACGTCATGGTTGATGTACATGGAAAGTATGTTATTAAACAGATTAAGACCACAGCTGCTTATATGTGTTGCTCCATGACATTTGGGGAGAGATGTATCCAAGCCAGCAGCTTTGGCAGAAAAATTAGTTCAGAAAGCTTGTGACCCAGGTTCCCAGCACCTTCACAAATTGTGCACATACAATTGTGTTTTAGTCTGTGCTATAAATTACATCAATGAAATGAGCCAAATTAAAACATAAAACTCCAAGTATGAAAGAAGAAGGAGAGTTAAATGCATTACTTTAGTGTGAAGTTTACAGTGCAGCCCCACAAACAATTTTGTCCGCATAAAGGAGGGGGTTGATGAATTTTGTAGAGTACGTGCGTAAGAAGGAAGAGCAGGGGATGGGAAGGTAAACACCTACTGCTAACGCTGAGTTTGCCATGGAGGCCAATTAATCATGTTGTTCCAGCTTGGCAGAAGGAGTTAATCTGATACACTTCAGAGAAACAAAATATCTCCAACCCACATCATGCGGATGCTCTGGCAACAGTATAAAGTCACACATAATCTCAGGAGAACTTCTTCAAGTGCCAGAACAATGACCAAGTCCATATATTCTGCAGTAGTATCAGAGGCCAGATCCTAAGAACTGCTTAGGAGCTCCAAGAAAAGCCACCTCCTGCCCTCCCAAAACTTAAATGCAGCATGAGAAGCATCAGCAGCTGTGAAAGCTAAGGACTTTGTGAGCACTAAGGTTCTTTGAAATAATGCTACTTGATTTAGCTAGAAACGTAATTATCCCATTCTAAGGAATCACTTTTGAGGAGTTCATTATGAAATTATTATTACAGGTTTGAGAGAGTCTTACTTTGACACCGTCCATATCCATAACACGAAGAGCTGACTTGCTGTCTGCAAATGTCACCAGCATTTGACCTCCACTGATCCTAGTAAAAAAAGGCAGAGGAGAGAAAGCGGTGCATTTTACTTCACCATTGAATAAAAAGCCTTAAAGGCAAGCATGATATTTTTGTACAGCCATGTATTTGGTTTTAGCTGTATTTTCTTCACAACTCTACTGTTTGGGGAGGAAAAAGTGATCTATGAATCCCAGCTGGGCTCTTCCTCTCCGCCACCCTCCCGTGTGCTCCCAGCACACTGCCCTTTTCTGGGTCACCCCTGAAGCAGCAGTACAAACATCTCAGCAGCTGCTGACAGTATACCAAGTCCGCTATCCAAGCTCCCTCTGTACCCACCTCCATGGCTCTGCACATCCCTCACCTCAGAGGACAAATGATGTTACCAAAGACCAGCATACCATCAAGCTGTAAAGCAATTCAAAACCAAACCAAACCAAACCACCAAAGCCTGTTCTTTTCTTGCTCCTTTTCTTCACAAGCAAGGCGGTGCTGCTGTTCCTGCAGGGCTGCTTTTGAACCCTCAGCTTATACTTGGCACTTTATGAAATCATGCAACAGGTCATCAGTTTTCTCCATTAATAAATGGATCAAGTACAACACAAACAAGTTTCTGGTCTTGCTTCCTAGGTCATGTGTCAGATCTTGACCAGTTTCGCCTGTATTTCTTAAAATAGAAGTCTCATAGCTACGCTGGAGCCCTGTACAAAATCAAGGAATGAAATTAAACTGCTCTGCCAGAAGGTATCATATCCTCCCTCTCAAACTCAGTAGGTGCTAGAGCTGTGAGAAGCCATATTATTAATAAAACACACAAAATGACCCCCAAAAGCAAGGACAGCTGGCCAGGAAATCCTAGTGAGTGTGAAAGAGTGCTGGAAGAGAGCAGGCCTCCTTGGAGGAAGTGGGGCAGGGCCCGCAGACCTGACAGCAGAAGCAATGCACAGAAATGAGGCTTGAATCTAAAGGTGATGATTCACATGAAAGCCTCTGCTTTATGGTGCTGTACTGAATAAAATTCTCCTCTACTCAGCCCAGAGAGCTGTTCGACTGTTTCTTTAACAGGTTGACTAGAGGTAAAAGATATTCAAAACATTTGTATTCAATTTCTAATGAAGAATTCAACACGCAGGAAAAGAATTCAGCATACTACTTTCTAATACAAAATTAATTCTGTCAGGACAAAAAGGCAATTTCTATCCTGTGTTTCTGAACAGATGACATGACATTTCCGATCCTAGACTCACCTGACCAGAACAATAGTGCCATAATCCTCAAATATTTGCATAAGCTCTGTACGCAAGTCCTCCGGAAAATCATTTTTCTCTTCAGGCGTTGGCGATGGCAGATTTACCACTACTGTGGCATCCAGCGGTCCCTGGAAAGACGACACTTCCTGGAAAACACTCTCACGGGCAGCTTGATTAACTTCCTGAACTTCCACTTCTACAATAGCTAACACTGGCCTACATGAAAGAAAGGAGAAATGCTTATTTAAAATTAAGATCAACATTGTCCAATAGGAAATGCTTATATCAAATGAAAATCAGTATCAAGCAGTAGGACTGGTAAGAAACTAGTTGTGTGAAGGACAAACAGTGTATTGTTTAAGCTCTATACATCTATGATAATTTTTAACTCCATGATGTCAAATCTCATTGCAGTTATTTCATTAAGCCTGCTATACCTCAGAAGGAAGTGATTATTACGTATGTTCTACACAGAAAGAGAAGCGGGACAAATTACTGGAGGTCTCACTGCAAAAAAGCGCTGTGGCTGGCAATACAACCCAGAAGTTAAGAGTCTGGTGGATTGTTTCATTTTTCCTGCAGTGGAAGATCATGCACTGAGCACCATTAATTGTATTTACCAGCCCTACAGTAGATGAATGTAACAGTGAGGACATACCATAAAAGAATTCAAATAACAATTCTGTGCAGCACTTCTGGCAAACCTGCAGTCTAAAAATACCAGGATACTTCACTCGCTATCAAACAGCTGTCTCCCAAAGCATCTGTAGATCGGGAAGACAGTATACTATTTTCTGTTAGACAAGACCACATAAAGATGTCTTCTTCCAAAACATAAGGGCAAAGTACTTGTGGTTATGTAGCAAACACACCTCAATCCATCATATTATAAGCAGCGAACACTGCAAACTTGCTTCTTCAGCCTTTTCTTACAAATTACCTCTCTGTGTGTTAGATCTAAATAAAATTGAGAAAGCTGTCTGAAAGAGTAAAGCTTGTCTCATCTCAGTGGATGCAATCCACATTCTCAGACTCCCACCTGCACACACATACAGAGCAGTAACTGGGAAGGCTGCTCTTCTAACTACATCAAAATTGCTGCCTCCTACTTGTAATGGAGCAGGCTCTGGAATACGCACTACCAGACCATATGAAAGCAACAGCAGAGCTAGAAAGGAGCGGTAAAGGGGAAAAAAAAGGTATAGAAAGTGTTAGCTATTTCTATAAGCACTGTGAATCATAGTGTATTTCCATATGTCACAAAGATATAGCTAAGCCCTTTTTCCAGCACAAACCCTGGGAAAGCAAACCTGCTGACTGTAATTAGAAAGCAGTTTTTGCAGTGAAGTTTGCTGAAATAGAAAACCAACGTACAACAGCCATGTGTCAGAGATTGCATCCTCAGGGTCCTATATAATGAGTGCAGCAGCTCCACTGTGCTTTGAGGAACACGGCAATGTCAAAGCCTTGACACAGAGAAATTGATTGCAAGAGGCATGTTCTTCTATTGCTGGAGGAATACAGAACAGTCCTGGCGTGCAAGAGCACCATGAGAAGCACAGAGCACTGCTATGAGGAACAATATCATAGCATTTCCAAATGGTATGCAAGGGGTGAGACAAAGATTATTCTGAAAGCAAGCGAGCTTTCAAGGTGTATTTATCACAGAATTTGTTTCAGAGAAGTGAAGCGGTGAACAAGTTTAACAAAGAAAGGTCATTCGTATGCCTAAAGAAAAGTTAACGATATGGACCAACTAGAGCCACTGGTCTTTGTTTTTTCCTCCTTCTCCTCCCATCCCGAACTCTAAGGGAAGCCCAGAAGCCCAACACTTCATTGCTCTGAAGAGGTCACGCCTGGTCCTATCTATGTACATGGCTTACTCCTCTTCAGGCCACACAGTCCCAACCTCCTCCTGTCCCATGGCAAGGTGAGTCGAGTCCATCAGAGCAGCTTCTTTTGGTGTTGGAGCTTTCCAAACCAAGCAACAGAAAGCCCTCAGTTTTCTATACCCGTTGCTGCAACTTCTCCAACCCTTGCTGAGATCATGGTGCAGGAGGAATCAATACAGGAGCATAGATACTTGCCACCCCTGGTACAAAACCCATCATGAGCAGGGGGAAAAAAAAACATCAAAGGGATACTGAACACAGAACAAGGGTGTAACTCCTGTTACAATCAGACTCAGTCCCTCACACTGAAGGTGTAATTCAGTACAACACATTCTAACCTAGTGGCCCTTTCTCTGATTATTTGCTTAGGACTTTTACCTGTGGTCAGATGCTTGCAGCTCCGCTCTCCCATAGTACATCAAGGCTCCAGGGGTCCAGGTGTGCCTGACTTTAGTTTCAGCATTCAGATCACTGTCTAGAAGATTGATCTCTCCAGCTATGCAGCACAAAACACGATTTAAAACTCACTGAAAGCTAGTTTTACTAGCAGTTAAAAGCTACTTTATTAGGATGCACTTCACAGACCCTAGTAGTGGGGGGGTGGGGTTTTTTGTTCTTGTATACACCATTCAAAGAAGAGCTTGTATCCTAAAAGATCTACAAGTTAGGGACTAGGAAAAAAAGTACAGAAAGGACAGGGAATGCAACAGAGACAGCTGGTCGCTAGAGTAAGACACCGGCAAAATGGTTAACCTGAATGTCACCCAGTGAATTACCTGTACAATCTGGCTTGACAGAGTTGTATTAGTATTTTTCCTCCTGCCCGACTACTGAGCATAGAAATAGACACTGTACTTGCAAAATACATTGCAAATTTGAATAATACATAGGGATTGGAGAAATAATACACAAGAGATGGGAGAAAGCATCCATATAAATCCAACCTCCAAATACTTCTTTTTGCAATGCATTAAGGTGATGGAAAGTGCTCCAGACACCATGCGAGAGTGAGGTATTATATTGCTGTCAATAACAAGAAAGTTTTTAGGTCACTGTCTGGGCTAATGGATAACTCTCTTTTCTGTGGAGTTGAAAATGAGTTAATACAGAATATGGCGTTTCTGCCTAATCACTTGTACTGGGACTACGCTTTCCTCTCAGAAGGCAAACACTCATCTAGCCTATAGCAGCAAAAAGCAGCAAGGCAAAAGAATCAGAGCAGAGAGGTAGAATCGTCTTGTCACCAGCAGTAAAGGAGAGGAACTCTGGCAGTGAACTAATTAGAAGAGCTTTGCAAGGCTGGGAAGGTGGGCGAACAGACAGGGTCAGTTATGTATGCATGCAGGTGAGCTAGCTGTGGGAGGAACTACAAGCTCTAAACAAAGGAACCTGCCTCAGCTCTTGCAAACCAGCTAGACAGGTCCTACATTCCGCTTGTACTCCACCAACTAAAGTCCTCCCAGGGGCAAGCCTTGCCATGCAAAAAAGGTAATATGCATTGAAAAGGTTGAAGGGTTTTCTTTTTCCTAAAGTGAAAACAGCCAGCACAAGAGGGCTGTTTTAACTTCCTTACTATGTCTCATACAGTTTTTCTTTCCCAGATTACATCTCTATCAGTGGTTTAAGCTCCTCAAGTCCTCCTTCGACTTGATGATCTTAGAGGTCTTTTCCAACCTATGACTCTACGATTTTACTTTATTTTTAATTCCTGAAATAAGAGTGAATAACTCTATATCGCATTGACGTGTATTGATTGCCCTAGTTTCACTTTGTAGTTTTTACACTTAGTGTACTCATGGTATGACTTGGATTCCACGTAGTAGTTCCCAGGCATGTGAAAAATCACACCTGCAGCTACAAACCAAATTACTCCTCCAGCGATTACACTTTTAATATGATTTTTTTCAGATTTTATAAACATTGGGAGATAGATGTACCTGCAGACTGAGAGAATGGACTGTCCCTGGATACGCAAAGAATACTTTTTATTTTGTTATTGTAACTTTCGAATAACAAGTGAAAACAGCCCTTCTGTTGTGCTGGCCACTCATGATCTCAAAGTACTTTAGCAGTACTAATTAATGAAATCTCGCCCAACTCCAGAAAGTAGCAGAAATATTCCTAAGAATTACCAAGGCAGAAGGCATTACAGAAAAGTGCTAATACACCTACTAAGGACAACAGTTTTAACAACCTAGGCGTTGTAACACAGGGACTTTATGTGGACTGATGATTCTGCTGAAAATCAACAGAATAATTTCTAGATCGCTACAGCTGGATTGTTTTCAGTTCCTCAGCGAGCTCCCAGCACCTTTTCAATCCATAGCATGAAGCCTTTGTTCACAGGCTCAAGTAGGAAGGGTGCTCTCTATCTCTGCAAGTTATTCCAATGAGGACGAAAGAATATCTGCTGGAGTAAAGCCCCTGCAATTTGACTAGACCTTCAGGACACATCTAAAGACAGGTCTCAACCCACAACTCACTAACTCCCTTTCTCATCATTCACTAGATTAAACCCCCTTATATGGGTTCTGGATGAAACCTAAACCAACTTTCAGGTAAAGGACGAAAGATCCAACTCACCTGTTTTTTCAAAAGGCAGTTTCTTTCTCCACCAAAGCACTCTGTCAGTCCAAGCTGGGGTTCTGCACTTATCACTTGTATCATAAGCCTCCGAGCCAACGTCGTATTTATATGTTGGTCCAAAATTTATAGTCCCTTCATGGAAGTCTTTAAAAATCTATGAAAAGAAACACGATCTCTTAGTTACAGATGAGGTAGGTGCCATTGTGATCTATCAACTTTCTTGCAAACAAACAACATTCTGATTTTGAAACAAACTACTACATTCATGTACTACAAACAAGGTTCTGAAAATGCAAATTTTTCACTCTCTCAAGACTTAGACCAAGCCAACATGCAGGTACATAAGAAAATGACACTGCCTTACTTTTCCACTGGATTTTTGCTGTTGTAGTTGATCAAATTCCAAAAGTGTCTTCCAGTCTTGACGTTTGAGAAAATAGAAGACTTCCTCATATGTTAGATCAATGCGATAGTTAAAATCACCGCACCAGAAGACATAGTCATGTGAGAATACACTCCGCCCCTAGTTTAGAGGGACAGAATACTGTTAATATTAAATCACATTCGTGAAAATACCTTTTAAATGCATTAGAATGCACAACTAAGTCTCTCTGAATTACTAAATACCGGACCTACTTGCCACATTCTGTTTGTTAAAATCCATCTTGTGCTAAAATGGAATGGTTTCTTCACTGTCTTTTGCATCCCACTGAGCTGAATTTTGTAAACAAGAGTATCAGACTCTGACCACTGTTTCCTGAAGGTATGTCTAAGCTGGGACTCCAGCTTTATATTCACAATCTGGCTATCATGAATATTTAAAATACATGTTTGTTTCCCTAGCACATTTCACACACATACATTTACATATTCCAAATACAACACAAAATGTGCTTCTGGTACCAAGGCACATTCAGCAGCAAAGGTCCTGAGTAGGAACAAGCTCCAAATTTGATCTTCTGTGCACATCACAGTTTTGTAAATGTATTGAAATAAAACATTAATGAAAATTCACTCCAATTTTAAGCTTAATATCCCATCCTCTAACCCATCTTTTTTTTTTTTTCCCCCACCAGTTAAGCTATAAAGCTCTAAAACCCAGAGATTTGCACAGGAAATGTTGCAGAGCTGTGGCTGTCACAGCACTAGAGGGCACTCTTTATATGTCTTACACACACAAGGTACATTTAACTATTGTAAATGTAAAGGACATGAAACAGTTAATGAGGTATTAGAAGGAAAAACTACCATAAGCACATCTTTATAGCCATTTGGAACAGATATTCTAAGCAGGACATTCAGACTGTCAGTATTAGTTCTCACATAAAACAACTGATTGATACGCTGCATGTGCCAAGCCTCTAAAACTTGCAAACAACAGGGAGTTAAAATTTTATGCTTTGTGACCTAAATGCCATTTTTTGCTGACTAATCAGAATACACAAACTGGTCAATTCCCTCCCTGGTTTAGGACCTCTCCAGAGAAGTCTGAGAAAGAAAGCATTGCGGAAATTAAAGCTACCAACATTAAGGGAAGCAAAGAAGCACTGCTATCAAATCCCATGGGTTATCTGCTGGCCTGAGGAGACAAGTGCAAAGTAAAACACTAGGGTGATTGATTTGACACCATTTGGGAGTAAAGTTATTCATACAGACCAATATTGCCTACTTGCCACACTCTGAGAAAAGCCAGCAGTTCATTGACAGTGACACCTTCACGAGGACAAAATGAAGGGAACACAAAGTACTGTACCAGGGACCAAGAACTGATATATCGCACCCGAGCAGAAGCAGCTGAAGCACTGATGTACTGAGTGGCATGGATGGTCTTTTAGGAACCCTTACTAACTCGTGGGAACCCCTACTAAATAGTGCCAGCAAGAGCTATCAGTATCATGCTCTCCAGCTCTAACACCAGTCACCTAGATCTCATCCATGACGCCTCACAGATTTGTCAGTTAAGTTGCACCATTCTGAAAGATCAACTTGAACACTGCTCAAAGGCGAGGACTTATCAAGCACTGCAGCAACCATATTTTTTGAAAGGCATAGCACTTTTGTAAAGCAAGTGCCGTATTGGGTGGTATCTGGTCTCCTGTGAAACATGCTTCCTTTTTTTTTATGTTTTCTTTACCATTTTCTTTTACGCCCATTCTCCACCGCACTGAGGTGACTTCTCTGATGACCTGTCATCAAAAACAGCCTGAGACTAGCTTTCATAAAGATATAGCCTTTATCTCCAGTGTTTTTAGCCTACATACATCCACACTTACCATTGGGAAGCTGAGCTTCTGTGTGATTTCTTTATAATCTTCATTCCTCTCTTTCACCTGAGTCTGCCCAGCAGTTAAGTGACTGCATATAAAGCAGAAACTGGTACTATAGAACTGAAAACGAATGCTCACTGCCCCTTTATTTCCAGCTTTTCCTCCCATTCCTGTCTTCACGGTGTCCACTGCTACATCCCTGTATTTAAAAAATATAGAAAGAGAAGAGAGTAAAGGGCTGCAGGGACAAACATTCACTTAACTTAAATGGCAATATAAAGTAAAAGCTAGTTTACGATGCCTTGTCTTCTCCCCTCCAGAAAGCTTGTTGCTTTTAGGCACATCTTTTAGTTTCTTGATGCTGTTCATGTACTCGTTTCAAATTCAGTATAATGCAATTGTATAGAAATAAAACTATTTGAAAGTATTTTCCTCTTCTCCTTGTCCGTTCCAAACAGACCAGCAAGACATTCTTTCTGAAACGGTGGGAATTTCTACAGAATATACTTTTCAAGTTTGCCTCTACCATGATCTTCAAAATAGTGATAATGACTAAATTTACTATTTTGTTTCCTTTTACTTTTGAACATACAGGAATCTGTTTTTCAGACAGTTAACAATTTAATTAGTGTTACTATGTGTTGAAATCCAACTTCGCAGTTGGTGCTGGATTTTTCAGTCAATTAAAGAGCAACAGATCATAACCCATAATTTGTTAAATCAGATGCAATAAAATCAGTGATTATTAGATATGACTATTTATACCTAACTCCTAAAATGAGTTCTGCACTGATGACAAATTGCTTAGGTCCTCCATGTTGCTAATTACACCGTATTTCAATGTCATGATTAGCATACACTTTACCACAGAAAGATGACTTGCTTGGCAAAGCAGGCCATCTGCTCACAAGATAGTTTCTCCCAGATAGCCAGTCTACTCTGAGAATAAAGCATGCCTGTCTGATCAGATAAGTAAATGAGGAGATCATTGTTGTAACCAACCCCAGCACCATGCATGTCCTTCCCACTGAGAAAATTTTACTTTCCAGACAGAAGTCAAGAAGTTATGGACTAGAATATTACTGGCTTTAAACAAGAGGTAGGGAGAAAAACACTAAGTCTTACTTGAGTTATTGTCAAGCATTCATGATCTCAATGACGCAAGATTACAGGCTCTCTTTTTCCCCTCCTCTTCATTTTCCGCTCTTTTCCCCACCTCCAGCTTTTCTATCAGTTTTTCCCCTCTTTATTTTCCTCTCTTTTCCTGATTCCAGAAAACCTCCAGAAAAGACACCCTCACGGAGGCAAAAGCAGACCATCAACGTTTTGTACAAAAAGACAGTTTCAAGCATTCCAAAAGAAGCACGTGTTCAGTCTTTTCACTCTTTGGAGTTCTCCCTTTCTGCTGCCTGCCTACCCAACTGCTCACTGATATTTCTCTGACTTGCATTCATGGCAAAGGTTATGTTGAGATAACCCACTGTACATTCAACTGCTTGTATTTCATCAATCCTTTCACTGCTGTATAAGCTTCAGCTAATCTCTTGTTTTGTTTTTCCGTTTTCTAACTTCTGCCCTAATCTCTCCAATCTCTGTAAGCACAGAAAACTTTTTTTGCACTTCTGATCATTTTTGTTTTGCTTTTCTAGACAAGGAAAAACCATATAAGCCTACAGGTTAGGTTTGACTACGCTCACACAATGTAGCAGCACATTAGTATTAAATGATGAAACTTGGCCACTAAAATCAAACTCTTCCCTTTTTGCTCATGAGTGTCAAATGGCTACATCCAATTCCTAGCAGTCTGACAGCTGCAGCAGAACCACTGTGCTGTTCTGCTTCTGATCCATGCTCTTCCTGCTGGATTATTCAAATTTCTTGTAAGCCAGCTGAAAAGTCAAAAACTGAAAGAAACACTTCTCTTCTGGACGCTTCGTACATAATTTTTTAAAAATCATGTTGAAGAAAGATCACTGGGAAGGCAGCAATACAAGAAGATCAGGGTTACCTGGATTGCACTACTCTGACTAGCCTACAGCGCTTGAGGTTGCACAAGGTCTGCACTCATCTTCTCAGCAGATATGAGACCAGAGGAAGAAAGAGGCAGCCTCTGATATTTTAATCACGAAATGCAATGGCCAATCAGTGCCCCTAACCTGGAGTAGAGGGCATTGTCTGGATCACTCTAGACTTTAAGGACAGAAGGATGCCCAAATACAGTTTGGGCTAATTACCCATTTCCTACCCATTCACACTTAGCCTGCATAATTCCTGCTCATGTCAAATGCATTTTAATGCATAAATCCCTGTGGCTAGATACTCTTACCTTTCCTCTTTAACAAAAATGAGAATCTTCTAGGGGCAAGAGGAGTTTGGTTAGACTCCAGGGACATCAGTGCTAGTAAGCTGAGGGCACACAGCTCTGCACCCTCCTGACTAGCCACATAGTTTTGATTCTTGTGACATCTGGGAGATACAAACACTTCATGGGCCCTTATAGCTCTCAATTCTATAAAATACCAGGGGACAAAATTACCTCTCTTTCTCCCACTTCCCCTTCCACCTCTTCCACTGTTCTTTTCAGGCCCGAACCAGTCCTGTTTCCATATGGAAACATTAAGGAGAGGGTTAGAAGGTAAAACTCACCCTTCAGGCAGAGGAAAGCACTTGCCTTCACTGGGTGCTCCAAACACTCTTGGACTTATTAGTTCAGGTCATTCCTTTCCCAGAAAGAGCACCCAAACAAGGTGCTACACCTTGACTGCCCACCTGGAGCATGCCCAGGTTCTCAGCTGAACTGGAGGAAGATATTGGGGCTGCCTGGCCCTTGTGCTACCCAGGAGGGTGGATCCCAGACTACCGCTGCCTGGCAACATGTCTCTCCCACTCTGCGCAGGGACTGGAATCCAGGTTTGCATGATTCCCACCAAGCTGAAAAAATCACTCCCACCCTCTCTGGCCATGCTCTGAAAGCAGATGTTACTGAAGACACAGGTTGGAGGCTTTTTTTGTTTTGTTTTTGGCTGGGGTTTTTTTACCTGATGAATGGGACATGATAGGGTCGTACAAAGATGAAAAGACAAACACCAACAAGCTGTGCTGATGTCAGCTGAATGTAGCGATGAGTCCTGGAAATAGCTTTTTGAAGCTGCTCTCCCCACATTTTCCTATTCGTTGTGCTGGAACAAACATAAAATCATTTAATGGAATCAAAACAAACCACATACAGTCAATAAAATGAGCAGATTAACTGTGCCTTGGGTTTACAGACATCCCATTAGGCTGTAGAACTGGAAATGCTGTAGGAGGCATGGCAGAGACAGGTAACACCTCCTTGTGAACAGCCCAGAGTGAGCAGCGTCAGTGAGCCCAGGCACAGTGCACAAATACAGTTATCCTGCTTCTGGACATGAAAGAGATTTTGTCTACTATGCTTAGAAAGATCCATGTTCACATGATGTTTGATGCCCTCATTCACTGGGGACAACTGGAAGCTGACTGTAGTAATCATAACCATAAAAACAAAAACCCATGTCAGTCTTGTGACTTGTAAGATTTCTTGTACTCACAGTGAAGAAATCGTCTCTGGATCTTCTCTGACTGGGAGATGACTGGCTACCCACAGCTGTTGGCTGTTCTTAGATGAAGGTTTGTGGGTGGGTGCATATACCTTCGACTCTGTAGACTTATCTCCAAAGTCAACTGATATATGCAGATACACTGCCATGCTAAGCACTGCTGTAACTTGTCATTCCCAAAACAGACAATTAACTAGTCAGCCTGATGAATTAGTGTTGGAAATATCATCTTTGGGGTTCCATCCCGATTCAGATTCAAAAGGACCAGTATACACAACAGCCTATTGTACGTGCTGACATGCCAAACTCACGCTTTGCCTCTAACTTCATCTCTAGCCATAATTTTCACAAACAAAATTAGCCACAGAGATATTTCGTTCATTTTAGAATTCCCACATGAACGCCCATTACGTTTGCAGTCACTAAGCACATTTTTCCAGCATCAGACCGGGGTTTAAAGACAAGCATTAAATCAATGTCAACCATCAGAATCCTTCTCTGCCAACACAAAGACTTAAGAGACTTGGAGAACACAGTGTATCCTACTGTACAGAAGTTCACAGAGAAACAGCACTTTCAACACTGTCCTAGTGCCGTTTATTAATGGCAAACATATTTTCAGCTATTATTACAAGCAACAGATTTGGAAGGAAGCATTCAATTCACCTGAGCATACAAAGCACAACTCTGGAAGCTTTTGTTTGGCTGGCTCCTTTGGAGAAGGGGGTGCTATTGGGGGGGTTATTTGTTATTTTGGTTTTTTTTGTTAACCTACCTGGCATTCACAATATTCCCTGCACTTAGTTCAACCATCTCTTCAAATCCCACTGCAAATATGTCAGGAGGGCAGCTCTCATCATCTGTTGGTATGAAGGGAAAGTCATACAAGAGTTACTATTTCATTGTTTCTTCTAACAACTTGTTTTCTAATTTCTGTCAAAGATCATTCCTGTAGTTCTATCTTGTGTATCCCCTGCCAAGCTATACATATTCATAGCTTCTTTAATCTAATTTCACAAAACAACCCCTGCAGTTCCTCTGAAATTTTTTCCTGCTTTTCTCCCACCAGTTGGTCTTCATCTCTCTTGCAGGAAGCAGTTCAGAACACAGCATTATATTGTAGCAATGTTAATATGAGAAAATATTCAATGTTCTCTCTCCCTCACCCCACTCATCACTAAAGCCACAACATCTCACTACCCACCATCTTTCACTCACTTGTCATTTTACCCAACATGCTTTTTCTTTTCTTTTTTGACACTGATTCCTATGTAACTGAACTTACTGTGCACACACCAGTATGTCCCTTCCCTCTCAATGCCTTTAGTAAATTGATCTACCAGCTTAAGGAAGCCTTTGAAGTTTCTTCTTATTTTCTTTCTTCTGAGTTCTTCTTAGACCACCCACACTTAAGGTTAGGTTAGGTCACTCTAGCGCACAGTGACTCTCCCTTTCCTGGCCCAGGCTGTGGATATCACCCTGGTAAAACACCAAAGATCAAATGCTCTCATATAATAGCGTGAAGCATATCTGTTGACCCATCAGGTCTGTCTATTGCCTTAAGGGATTTTTTTTTTTTTTAAATTGTCATACACCCAAGGTAACAGTAACTTCATTCGACATGAAGACCTAAACGGTAGACAACCATAGGAACCTAAATCAGACCTACCTACCTCAGAAAATAAGAACGGAAAGTAAAACATGCAGCAACTCTCTGCAGACACAAGGGTGAAACTAAGCACATGACAGCTAGCCTCCTTTACTGTCTTAACATGGCAGGCACTGTCATATGTGTATTCCCATTAATAATTTTGGATATTTGCCTGTGAATACCTACCCATTTGTGTAGTCACTGCACTGACACTACCACCAACACAGACATGTGCATCGTCATACCTGAGCTCTGCCCATTCATGTAACTCAGCTCCCTTTCAGAAGCTGCTTAGACCTATTATGTTATGGCTCCCTGTGCCTTTTAGTCCTGCTCCTCCGGTTCTCTCAGGGGAAGGCTTGGCAAGGCTAGCACATGATAGGGTCTCCACAAGTTTTTATATCATGGGCACAGTCATGTGCTAACACATCTAAACTGTTTCTGAAACAGACTGGACCAATCACCCACCCAAGCTGTTCAGAGTACAGTTTTCTGCTCCTGATCACATATCCATGCACTCAAGCACTAAGGGTTCAAACGACACAGCTCGTGTAAGTAGCCAAGGATTTGATGAATGAGTTCCTAAGCTTGAAGGTTAGGCATGGGATTATCCCTGTGACGCCTGCAGGAAGCTAAATGTTCCACTGTAACAACAAAAGCACAGGTTTCGTCACCATTTTGCAACCACTATTCTTATATGACAGAACATTCACTATTAATTTTCCTTAATAAAATCTGTAAATAATTACAATACCTGTCCTTGTTCTGTAAATAAGAAATTGAGAGCCAATTTAAGCAATACACAAGCACAAGAGCTTTCTATACTGCTAAAGAACCTCATGAGGTGTGAACCACATGAACCTCATGAGACTCAGAAAGGCCAAATGCAGGGTCCTATACCTGGTCGGGGCAAACCCCGCAATCAATACAGGCTTGGGGATGAAGGGATTGAGAGCAGCCCTGCCAAGAAGGACTTGGGTGTACTGGTGGATGAAAAAGTGGGCATGACCCAGCAGCATGCGCTCTCAGCCCAGAGAGTCAACCATATCCTGGGCTGCATCAAAAGCAGCATGGCCAGCAGGTTGAGGGAGGTGATTCTGCCACTCTGCTCCGCTGTCGTGAGACCCCACCTGGAGTCCTGCATTCAGCTGTGGAGCCCTCAGCACAGGACAGATCTGGACCTGTTGGAACAGGTCCAGAGGAGGCCACAAAAATGATCAGAGGGCTGGAACACCTCTCCTGTGAGGAAAGGCTGAGAGAGTTGGGGCTTTTCAGCCTGGAGAAGAGAAGGCTCCGGGGAGACCTTATTGCAGCCTTCCAGTACCCGAAGTGGGCCTACAAGAAAGCTGAAGAGGGATTTTTACATGGGCCTGCAGTGACAGGACAAATGGTAATGGTTTTAAACTGAAAGAGGGTAGATTTAGGCTAGATATAAGGAAGAAATTTTTTTACAATGAGGGTGGTGAAACACTGCCACAGGTTGCCCAGAGAGGTGGTAGATGCCCCCTCCCTGGAAACATTCAAGGTCAGGTTGGATGGGGCTCTGAGCAACCTGACCAAGTTGAAGATATCCCTCCTCACTGGAGGGGGGGCGGGGGTGGGGCGGGTTGAGGGTTGGACTAGATGACCTTTAAAGTCTCTTCCAGCCCAAACTATTCTATGACTCTATAAAGAAAGAAAATTGCCTTCAACAAATGTAATCATATAACTCTTTTTGTCTGAAGGTTTTGATAGTAACATTTCCAGATAATCTCAGAACTCAGATTGTGCAGATAAATTTAGCTCCAGATAAAGACCAAGCAGACATTCTGAGGGTACCTAAACATGGAGTTCCCATTCACAATGAAGAACAAAGGATGGAGATATTGAAGAAGAAAACAAAATATGGGATGCAGAATAGGCATAGACATCCCCCATGACGGCATGAAAGAGACCGCTGAATTTGACCTGCTGAAGGTTCAAAACAGGGTCAATCTGGCATAGACCAACGAATTGCTCTGATCGTCAGGAGCCGTTCACGCACCATCACACTGCTGAGGAGAGGCAGTGCAAGTCTACATGGGGCTGAATACACCCCTGAGAACTGACAGAAAATGCCCTCCAAGATGCAATGCCTTTGAAGGAACAGCTGGTCAAATCTTGTGTCCCGACTCGCTGTCCCTAGAGATGCCAGCAAATACTGCTTACACATTTTGACTGTGAAGTCTTACCCTGAAATTCAGAAACTCCAGAGAGCTTGGGAGAATCCAGCAGCCAGTCTGTCAATTCACTGGTACCGAGGATGTTGCTTCGAAACTGCTTCCCTCCGTTCACGTTCCAGGTCCCCGTGGCAACACGGACACGCTTGAAACTTGTGAATTCAAACTGACGCTCTGACATGGCCTTCAAAATACTTGGAGTTACTGACAGAAGAGGGGAGAGAGAAAGAGGGTGTGTAAAAGAAGAATGTGCTGTAAAAGGATAGAAAGCATACAGACAGCAGTGACACAGTCACTGCGAAATAATTAAACTACCCCAGCAGCAACAACACAAAAGCTAAGGAACAACTCCAATGGCAATGCCAATAACTACAAGTTAACTGGGGCTGACGTCGGCAATTTATCTTCCAGATATCAGGCATTCTTTGAAAGCTTGCGAAGGGCTGGTCACTCACTTTTAGCCTATGTTTTCAAGCACTTCTTCAAGTAATAACCAAACAAATTATTTTTTCCTTCCTTAAATCTTCAGTTTAGCCTGCAGCAATCCAGCATCTCACAAGTGATGACTTAAAATAAAGCCCTAAGAAGCTTAGAGTGTGGGGGGGAAAGGTGGAGAGCAGCACAGAGTCTCACATCAGTCCAAAACTAGCACTGTCGTGGCTCTCTAGCCTGGTCAGAACTCCTCACAGGAAACTGCTATGTTCATTTCTTTTTGATGAGTATAGAAAACTAGCAGCAGAAAATTTTTGTGCAAGTAACTGAGGTAACTTCAATCTTCAACTACCTGATTTGCATTGGCAGTCAGGCGCAGAGAAGCTATCTACACTGTCCTTGTGGTCCACATCACGGAATGGCCCCAGGATTTCAGTGGTCCTGAATGGTTCATGACTATCCTATTAAAATCCAGTAGTCCTCTGGAGCAAACCGACCACCTGATAACTGCTTGTGGGTGCAATTATGCTGTATTTTGCACACAAGTTTCTTCAGAAGAGAGAGCTAAATTGGTTTACTCTAGATACGTGCAAACAATGTGTATATGTTGCGGACTATCAGGGCCCTGGAGTAAAGCAGGGAATGAACGAAGATCCAAATGGCTAAAAGCATGTACAAACCACAGGCCAAAATAAGAAGATAAAAAATCTGAGCTCAAGAGAATTCCTCAAGACCAACTCAGACCGGATGAGACCAGGAATACAGTCCTCAGATCTTTCCCTCTGGTCCAACTCCTCTGAACTGTCAGATGAGATCATCATCAAACAGCAGACAAACATACTCAGAAGTCCAAAACAAAATATAAGAAACAGGAACAGTGGAATTAAAACGCACAGGGTTGTGCTACGGTCACTTGAAAGCCGTATTTTAAACAATAGATTTGTGCAGAAGTAGCTTGTTTATTGATTTTTCCAAAAGGGTGCAATTGCTTATCTCTGACAGCTAAAAACAGACACAAAAGTGAAGGGTTTACATTGGCCTTACCTAGCAGGGCAGTGTTGTCCATGAGCATCTTGGCTTTGTCTGCATATTCCTCACTGAAGAAGTCACCCATGAGCAGCAACTTGATGGCTTCCTGCTTTACTGCATCAAAAAAATTTGACTGAATGGTGCGAGACACTGAGCGGGCGCCATCCTTGAGTTTCCCAACCTACATCAGACAGGAATCATCAGTGCAAGTGACACTGAAGAGCAAATCAGTCATCTTCCTTTACTTGTGAATAAACAATTTTGCCATTTTTCTTTACCTTGTGCTTCCCCTCGAGGGCACGACTGCCAGTAAATACTCTGCTCAGATTATGACCGTTGACAGTCCACATTGCTTTGTATGATTCCACAAAGCGCTCAATTACAGATTTAGAGTTCAACCCAAGGCTCTCTAATTGAGCAAGCAGGACCTGGATTAGGTACAGAAGGAGAAGAAACATCATCATTGTTCTTAAATGTATTTTTGCTTTTTGTCCTCAGTTTAAGTATTCTAGCCCGTACCATTCTGTATCACAGAGCTGGCAAGACAGACTTCTATCACTGAGGCTTACGCTCTCTTTCCTGTCTTTCCCACGGAACAGACAATGTACACAGTACAGGCATCCACGAAAGGTCCTCTGACAAACTCACCTCCAGTGCAATGAAGGACTGTACGCTATTAGTACGATCCAGGCAGTCCAAACAATTCATTCGAAAAGTACCTGTCTGCAGACTTTGGTAACCAAACACAAGGGGAAGGAGGGAAAAAAGGTATACATTAAAATAACATCTAATCATGAGTTGATCGAACAAGATCATAAAATGCTCAGCCTGAATGTACCCACCCACATTGTGACAGTGCAAGCATATTGTGCATAACATATTCCATTAACACGTCTAATTGATTACAACACTGCAACACCATATTAGCAAATCCATGCACTGCTAATTTTCCAGATTCCAAACAATCCAGATCTAGTTAAGCCAAATAATGTTTAGCACCAAGATTACACTTTGTCTCAAAACTGTATTTCAAAATGGTCATTTATGCTTATGGTGCAAACACAGCAAGAAACCTGGGCAGGCCAGGGCAGATGGTACCTGGCTATGCTGGGACAGAGGGGCAGGGACACTCACCGTGGACTTACATTCTCGCCCTTTGTGAATATTCCAAAGTCTTCCCAGTGCAACTCCAGCTGAGGCCTCAGTAAATTTTCCAGTTTCTCAGTTTTCCCACCTTTTGCAAATTGGTGGTAGTCAAAGTTTATCATGGGAGTGTCTGCCGCATGGGAAGAGGCCCATAGCAGTTTCTGTTTAGAGAATGAAGGAAGACAAATCCTGCTCACGCTACAGTGTAAGGACTGATACCAGCGTGCTTTTATCATTACTAAACCTTGACTGTTTATCACATTTTTAATATTGAGGAGTTCACAGGGATTTTGAAAGGCCAGACATGAAAAAAGCAACTGAAGTTCCCTATATGTTTTCTTTCCAAAAGTAAACTGGCGCATTAGACCCAAATTTTTCTGCAGGGGAACTCAAACTGTAACTGCCAAGTATACCTCAGAATCGCTGCTGTCTGCGCCTTGGCTAGCAGCAGCCCTTCAGCAGTGGGCTGCTACCTCTGTGCACGAGGGTGTACAGCAACAGTGATGCTCTGGGCAGGCTCAGGACAGGGACCCTGGTGGGAAGGGTGTCTGGAGCTGCTTAAGGTACAGGAGGATAACAACAGTGCATGGGTGTATTTTCTAACCATTCCTGAAGTGCGAAGACATTGGAAAATGTGGCCTTAACTTTAGGAAGAGATTGCGTGAGAAGGAAGTAAGAAAGAAATGATGTCCCAGGAAACATATTACAAAATGTTTGTGGTAAACCACAAAAGTGAAAGAAGAGGCACAAATAGCCTCATTATTTCATCTCCAATTTCCATGACCTCACACGCATTTCCATAATCATCACAAATTTCATTAAGGTATCTGTAACAGATACGACAATAATACATCCTGCTCTTCTGGACAAAGCCAGAGAGAACTGCCACATTAACTATAACCATGCAAGCCTTTGCCTATTCTCTTCCCTCGTGAACATTCTCATCTCAAGAGAAGGATGCTGTTCTCTACTTAGACTGTGACACAAACTGAACAAAACAATTCTGATGTACATTAAAAAGGTACATGCAGCAATTACACCAGTATAATTGTATCAGGTAAGCCATTAAGCCTTCCCCGCAGGAACAAATTTAAAGGTGTTGCACAGTGTTTGGAGAGAGGCGTGCAAAATATATTTCATTACACTGTTACAAAAGCCAAAACACTTGGTATCTGCTTCTCTGTTGTTGACACCTCAACTTGCCTTTACAGCTGCTGGCACTAATAATGCACTTCATGACATTTACCCACTGCCTCAGCGTAAATCATTGTCAGAGTATTCACAACTCTACACTACAACATTGCTTTTACTGTAAGCACAATTACATCTGTTATAGGGGATGCTTATGAGACAAACAGCATTAGTGGGAACAGTATTGATTTTTGGTCTGGTAATAGCCAATTCAGGCAATAGCTGAAGGTAAGTTGGTCATTTACAATTTTTCACTTGTTCCTGTTGCATAAACGAACAGTAGCAGAGACATTCTGATTAAGCAAACCCAGCAGCAGTAATTATAGGAAAATTTTGAACCAACTCTGATAAGAATTACTAAGCTTGCAGCAAGGGTTTGGAGAAGAAGAAACAAAACAATCAAAGGAAGACAGAGAAACAAAGAAATAAACTGATGACAGAAAAGGAGAAAAGTTTTCATTCCTAATAATTCCCCTATGAATTACTTTATTTTTAATTCAAGCCCTTTAAAATCATCATAGTAAAAATTAACTATATATTCTTTCCAAACATCCATTATTAAAACAGAAAGGTAAGAAAACACCAAGTGGTGGTTATTCTGAATGGGTACAAAACTCTAGTTTCCAGTGCTGTCAGTCTAAATTCCTTTAGCACACACAGTGCTTTCGTAATTTATTTACTTTTAAACGTCAATAAAGCTTAACAATTAAAACATACATTTGTTTAAAATAAATGAATGAATGCAAGGTCTTTATTCTAGAGATGCTCTGTTTCTGACTTAATCTCTGTTTGTACAATACTGGCCAGAACACTGTCTTCAAGAATGTGTTTCATAAAATATCAGTATTCAATTAACCAGAAAAGTCAGATTTGTATCCTCATAAATTCTGTGAGCATTTTTCAAGTGATCATTTCTTACCCCTAAATTTCCATTTTTTTTCAAAATAAACAATAAAAACTATTTTAAAGATAAGCAAATCAAGAGACTATAGAGGCTTATCTGTGTCATGCAGAAATTCAGTAAGAAGCTGAAAACAGAAGCTAGGACCAGACTTCACTTCTGTACCTTCCTCATTGCCTTGCACACTTTAGTCATAATCACTTTCTTTGGCCATATTCTGTACAGGGGGAGACCTTCACTTTGTCACTTTCCACTCAGGAAGCTGATATTCCTCCCCAGCTCTTTTGGAGGAGGAAAACGGTCACACAGAAAAACTGTCAAAAAACTCAAGACACTTCTTGTCTTGAGTATATTATTCCGACAGAGAGGGAAACCAATCAGGAACTATTATTTAAGTAAAATGAGAAATGTAGTTAGTTTCACACAGTAAACATTTGAACTCAGAACTGTTGTATCATTCTTAACTAATGATAAACACGTAACACTTACTACAAGTGTGTACTTACACCATTCTTCATATTATTCTTAGGAAGATACAGTCCAAAGTATCTATATCGGATTTCTAAAGCAACAGGCACTTCAGAGGCAGACTGAGGTGGCTACGCACAGCTACAAATGCCACTCAGTGTCAATCTGCGGCTTCAAGTACACATTAGTTTTAAAAATCTGGCAATGAGCATACCGCAGCGGAACTCAGCGTAGCTTTAACTCTACAGTGCCTGACATCCTGAAAGCATGACCCAGATGTTTCAGGTATTAGTTGTGCCTAGGGACATTTAGGGGCCAGGAAAACCTCTCTCTTCATATACCAGACTGTCACCTGGTGCTCAAGCAGCCAACTGCCACCATAATCAGCGCAAGATAGCTATTTCCCATTACAACCAGAGCAAGACAGCTTGCTTATGCTCAGTGAGCCAGGGCGAGGGCCTGGTCCCCAAGCAGTTCTGGCAATCCCATGAGGCACCTGACTACTGCATAAGTGACTACATACTATGACAAAGCTGACCACAATTCACTTTTGCAAATGTGAACTACTCTTACGAGAATTAGAGCAATTTTTTTAAAGTCTGGTTAAAGAGAATGTGCATAAATGTGTGAAGAAATAAGCAGGAAGGCAGTGCTGGAAATTAATCCATGAGACTATGAAGCAACATTCTCTCAGTACGTAACACCTAGCAAAGAGATAACATAGTTTCTTTAGATATACTATTCATCACTTACTGGGCCACAAGGGAAACAGAAGAACATGGAGGGTCAGGGGAAATCAGCAGTTTAAAAAAAAAAATTTCTTTTACCTTAAAAGCTCTGTTGAGCACCTCCTCCCCTCCTCTGCTTCCCAATAGGTTAACGATCACTTGTTTTCCATACTGCTCTTTCAGAAGCATCATATGCCTACAGCAAAAGTAACCATAATAGGTACTAAACAAAACCATGTTATGTTGACTACTACCTTTTTCAAAACACAGAAGTAGGGGTCACTGGTTGTTCCATCCAGCAGAAAGTTTCAGCCATTGTAGCTACAGACATCTTCCTCAGTTTCCTTACCATCAATTTTTAAAGCACATATGGTGAAAGCATATAATTAACAGACACAGTATTTTGTACTGAACTTCAAGAAAGAAGCATCTTAGGGAACAGGCCACAGAACTTTTATGTCACTGTTAGCTTTGATACTGCCCTTTGCACGCACCCACCTCGTGGCTGTCAGCCTGGGAATTACATAAGAAAGACACCAAGAGAGGAAGACATATTACACTTCAACAGCAATTGCCCAGCATCTTGCAGGGCTAGGCCTACAAAGAGTCAGCAGCAGCAATGGGGCCTAGGACTCCAGTGCCAAGGCCAGAGAGGCACATACACACACGCACAGACACGTGTCATAGGTGACAGGGTTCAAACAGCTCTGAGCTACAGCAACATTGAGACATTCACTCTCACCTTAATTAAATGAAGCAGGGAGGTTAGTAATCATTAAGAACTGCCACACTGGATCAGAGCAAAGGTTCTTTTAGCCAAGTGACCTGGCCCAGATTCTTCAGGAAGAAACACAAAATGGGAAAAGTATAAAGCGGGGGGGGGGGGGGGGGTGACATATATCCCCAACTTCTCAAAGTCTGACATTTAGGGACTCTCAAGTCAAGAGCTTTTAGCCCAACGCAGAGAAACCCATTCTCCCCTCAATAAATTTTTTTCAAGTTGTCATGCGTGTGCTACAGGAGCTGGGCTGGCTCATCAAGAAACAAATAGATCTTAAAGCCATCTTCCATCACATACTAACAACACTGTAGCAGTACTTGAGAGGAAGCTGGATAGAAATAGACAAGAAGAATAAAATAAACACTCGCACAAATGAAAAGCTACTACACGCTGCAAAGCAACAAGCAATGGCAAAGTGTCAGAAAAACAGTAAGCGCACATCTTCAGGCATGCACCTTTAAACCCTATAACCAGAAATAAGCCATGCAGTAAATGATGGAAGGGGAGAAAAGAAAGAAAAAGTTGTCAGCATGGTCTTCAAGAAATATGGCTAAATACATTTTCTGGCGCTATTTATGTTCCTGATTCTGCAACCAGTTCTCTGTACGCCAGCTTTCCCCATACATTTGCACCCCTCTGATCCCAGCATCAAGATCCGACTTCTCCGCCAATGTTACTTCCTTACAATAAAACTGCTGAAGCTCAGGTCATCCGCTGGAGCACTGTAAACAGAGCTCTCTGAGGATTTCTCAGAGAGGGGGGATGAAAGAGATCCACTAACAAGATTACCATTCACTTCTCACAGTGCCTTCTCAACGCATTAACCTATCAGATGGGAAAATGTAACAGGCTAAACCCACTCTAACACTCTCAGGAAAGCTGTAAAAGGTTGTTAAGTTTCAGTGTGTTTTTCCACATAAGCAGTCATTTCTTCCTTGCCCATTTTCAAAGGACTATCTTTTGCAGATCTGTACACAGAGATCCCCAACTTCATTAAACCTAAAGGCTTTACTTTGCACATAGAAAAGAAGGAACAGTGCAAGTTGATCCTCATGTACATGTTTCTTACAAGAAAGCTATTCACCCATTGTATCAGGGTCAGAAAGAAAAGATTCTCTGAGCTAAATCATCTTATGCACTTGTTCCTTGCTGAGGTACTCTCAATTTCTTGGGCAGCAGAAGAGGATGCCAAATAAGTTATTGTTTTCATCTTACATAAATTATCTCTGCTGTGGAACGCAAACCTCTAAGATGGAGCTTCAGGGGCACTGGCAGGGCAAATAATCATGGCACCAGACAACCACAAGACCATGAGTCTCAAAGGCATTTGAATTCAGTAGGATTTAAGAGCCTTAAAAAGCTTGGTGAAGTTAGGCTAACACCCTTCAGAGCAGGGACTGCTACGGTGCATAGTCCCTTTAGATTCTAATCCCTGTTTGGGGTCTTCAGTGCTGCAAAACTATTAGCAGTCACTAATGTCATGCTTGCTAACAAATGCAGCAAATGAAATCAAGGAATTAACAGGCTTTACCCAAAATCAAGATAAACTCTGATTTGCCAAACCAAATAAAAACAGAAATTAATCACATGATCTGGCATTTTACAAGTTGAAAATCTCCCACAGGCCAAATCCTTCATGTCCTTTTCAGGCAATGTTCCCACTGATGTTCCTGGGAGTTTGCCCTTAAAGCACAGCACTTCACAGTCAGACAGTCAAAGGAACCAAGATAATGTATGGCTTTTTTTTACAGTTTCCAGTCGACAAGTAGGGTATTAACGGTTTAAAAACGTTTACAAGCCAGTCTTTGGGGAAAGCAGAAAAGCATCAGCATGACAGCATCACACAACACTGATCATACAATAAGATACTTATTTCTGTATAGCAATAAAACAATAAGGAGAAAAACAAATCCAGATTGGAGAGGAATCAGTGTTTACTTTTTAATTACCTGGGTTACAGTGGTAAAGAACACATGTTCTGTGTACCTTAAGTGTCAATTCACATTTGTTGGCTCACAGAGGGTTACACAGACCTTCCTTCTGCATACCACTCAGTATTTTTTAGCTTTTACAGAAACAAGTCAGGAGACCAAATTAATTCAATTACCATTGAAAACAGAAAGGAAAATGCACAAAAATAAGTGCATAAATAAAGTAAACCCACTTAATAATCCTGCAACACCTGCGGGACTGGTTACATCATCTGAGAGATGTTTCACATGTCTCAGGATTTACTAGGAAGGCAGAAAGCTGTGGAATCTTGGTTAAATGCCAGGCTGCTGTGTTACTGCCGAACTGGAATGAAGCTTACCTGTCAAAGGCAGGAGCATTAGCTTCCAGACCTCTGTTAAGCCTCAGATGATGAGAACCGACCTAAAATAAAATATTGTAAAGAGATGAAAGAGAGAAATAACTTCTTAAATTGCTACAGTCCTAAATCACTAGGTGTCTCCCTTTTTCCTTCAGAGAAAATAGTCTCTTTTAACAGCACCAGACACCTCTAACAGACTCTACACACACCCACACACAATATCCTTAATACAAAAGCCAAAGCTTTTATTAGAAAACAACATTTACAATTACAAGTGAAAATATGATTACCATTAAGCAAAGGGATACCTACACATCTTTTTAAGGCCAAACAAACCACATCCCTTTGCCAGCTTCCTCTAGCAAATACCCCACACTGCCTCACATGAGTATGCTGTGTGCCCAGCATTCTTCCTGCCCTTCCCTCAGCAGAAAAGGCTGCAGCTATGCCAGTTCCATGGGTTGCATGTCCTGAGTTCTTTCTTCTTGCATTATTTACAGTAACTAAAAAGCATCAGCAAAGTCCTTTCAAAATATGAAGGATTAAAACCTGTGCCATCAGTCTAATAGGACTTTCAATATGGATATCAACAACAGTAGCCTCAACCTCCTTTTGAATGCTAGCTACTGTTATTACAGTATGCAGAGGGCTTCTTTTCTCTCCAAAAACTACACTACTAATTATTTATAGGATCATGCATTGTTTCCTGTACTTCATCATCTTCCTCTGTTTTTCATGAGGTTGTTCTCTGCAATTCTTTCTAACACCAGTGCCAGCACACTCTCATGCAAGGAGTAAGAGTTATGAGTATTCACCAATATAAATGAAAGCTGCATAATCTAATCCAGATTAGGCAAAAAAGAAGACTGTGTCCCTATTAAAGTTGAAAATTCCATTTAACTAGAGATGCTACCCACCAGCCAAAAATATTTGGGGAAAAGCTCTATGGCTTCATAACACATGGAACAACAGTGCTGGATACAGCTACACCATGGGCGGGACGTATGCTCAACCATACAAGAAGACCCACTTTATAAAAAGAAGCAAGTATTGCACTGGATGGTGCTAACATACACCACCACTGATCTTCCTTTTGCACTATATCCAGTAGAATCTAAAAGAACAGTTATATTACATATCCTCTTTACTAATATACATGCATATATGTGCATACTGATTCCAGTTGCTTATCCCTCTGTTCAGAGAATGCAAAGAGTGCTAGGATGATTCTTATTTGAGCTTGTAACTGTATATAAACTATAAGTCACAGACCATACATAGCCTGCTAGGCTTGATGCAATAATCTCCTGATGAAACCCTACATCTCTGCCTTGCAGATCAGATTAGATCATCATCACCCATTTGACTGAAATACAGCAAACACACTATCCGGACACTATACTTGGTTTGAAGGTAACATGCTCCTGTAGAGCTCCTGGTATTCCTGTGTACTCCAGTTTTATTGTGGAGAGCAATATTATGAAGCCAACTGAGCATTTCAGAAGGAAATATTGTTCCAAATCAAATAAAAAATGTCATGAAGATACTGCTGTAAGCTCCAGCTTCGGACATTAGGACACAGTCCCTTACTAATAGTTCCTGTAGAGGCACATGAACACATGAAGATGTTAAACTTCAGTTAACTACAGCCTTTTGCCTGGTTTAGTTCTGTTTATCTAAACATGCAAAACTTCCTACAAGGTAAACCTAAAATGAAAGAGCTCAGCTTTGCAGCTCATTTAAAAAAAAACAATAAAACTTTACGTAACTTCTAAATTATAACTAGCAAGCGAGATAAGCAAGGTAGGTTTTTTGATTATTTGTTTACCTGAAGCCCCGGTTGCTCCCAAAACAGTGGAACAGAACCTCTGATCTGCACAAAGGAAGAGACATCATCGTCCAAGTAAATTGTCTGCAAAAATAAAATAAAAGGAAGGAGTTCTGCAGTTAGAGCTATCAGTCTGTGACCCCTTCATCAGGTGATGGTTTAAGACACTGAATTCAAAGGGTAAAAAAAGTAAACCGTGTATCTCACTGTATCCACTTACTGCTCAGCCACTTTTCCATAGTCTCACAGGCAGTGGAACAAAGCACAACGTATTTGCTTTCATGTCATGACAGCAGATTCAATTCGCTACTCACCAGAAATAACAGAACATTGAAAACACTACCTCTGGCAAAAAGGAAGGAATCTTTCATCCACAACGAGGATGGATTTGATCTACTGGTGGAGACATGTAGGAAGACCAGCCACACACTCTCCCTCTGCCTCTCTCACAAAATTTAACTGTGCAAAATGTCATTGCTCCTTGTGACTGATGATGGGTAATGTCAGGTGTGGGATAAGCTTATCTCTTGCTTTATTTACTATTTCTTATTTCACTGTGTGTTATGCCTTGTCAGTGTCCAAATAAATCTCAGTGAAGCCAGCAGCTTCGCCACTCCCACTCCGAGACACAGTGAACAGCAAGCAATCTACTCCTTTTCCAGTAGGCTTATAGCAAGAGGCTCCAAACTCCCCACTTCCTTTCCTAACCAGACCTCAAACTCTTATGATCACTACTAACAAGCTGATTTTGAGTCAAATCTATGCAAAGTACAAAGACTGATTTTCCTCTTTGCCTCCCCCCCTCCGCCAGCCCCCGAGCAAAGTGTTACATTATATGTTAACTTAGCACAAAAGGTACTATCTTCAGATTCAGCACAACCACAGAGCAACTGTGCAAAGTCCGGTTCACTCCCCTGGCCTATACTTAGCAGTGGAATCCTGGCTGTTTTCCACAGGGGATACATGATACACATTTCTGTTATCTCATGCACGACAATGAGTCTTCTGCAGCCCTGCAGAGGAATGGTATCCATACCGGTCATCCAGGTAGCCGCTTCTTTAACTGCATCATATCATTTAGCACAACTGCTGCCAGCTGTCTAGTAGCTCCCAAAATAGAAAAGAACATGAAAATGGGTTACCTTACAGCTTTAATGTAGTTTATGCTTTTGGATGTGCCACTAGGTGTGCTGGCTGAGTGGCTCAGGGGAAGTGCCTTCATTTACCTTGATCGCTCATCTTTATAATCACTACCAATGTACAATTTTTAGAGCTACATGTGTGAAAAGAACTATAGCTACACCAGAGAGCTAAGTACTTAAATACTCTGTCACAAGTTTTGTCTAACTAATCTTTACAATATTTTTGCAGAGCACTTACAACTATCCCCTTTTCACTACACTGAAAGATTTAAGTGGCTTTGTCAGGGACACAATGTCAACGTTAGAATGATGGCTAGCTCAGATGTAGTGCAAAACTGTATACTGCAATGCTTTTAGCCTCACATCAATGAATGAAGAATGAGAATGCATCTCATCTGAGAACAACCCCCTGCAAGAGTGGGTGTTGCTCAGAGAAGCTTCCTGCCTCACAGCTTGAGAAATGTGGGTCTAAAACACACTCTCCCAGTAAAGTCTTCTAATCATTGCCCATACCTGAGAGCAGCAGCTAATTACCATGGCAACACACTGGTGCACCTTTCTTTGCAAGTCTGTGCTCAGAAGAGTTCGTCCTGCAGTTGGCCTACAGGAGGAGTGAGCAGGCCCACCTTCTTCCTCTTTATCACATCCTCCCTGAGTTAGGTCCGACCATGATGAGTCAGTGACTTCTAAACACTGAATCATCTTTTCACTCGCTGTCATAGACCCAGAGGAGCCAATTCAAAGGTAAAGCAAATTTGTGTAGCTCCACTGACAGCTCCAGCATTATCCTGACTCATACTAAATAAGGATCAGGTCCTGAATCTATGCAAAAAAAGAGTCAGGACTGGCTCACTTCAAAATTTGACACGAATCACCACCTTAGTGATGTGATGAGTTGAAATGAAATGTCTAATGATGATGATTGCAGACAAAGCTTCACACGAACTACATTTTCGCCACTCAGCTTGCTACAGAGAATCAGTTTTCTTGACAATCTTCTCAAACGTCTTGCTTCCATAACTAACTGAAAAAACGACAGCTCAAGTATCTCTTTGGTCAACTCTTTTAAAAGTCCCAGCTGCAAATTTTCTAGAACTACTGATTAAAAGATGATGATCATAATAATACTAAATAATAATTTTAATACCTGCAGTTTAACATCTTCCTGAGATACAGTTTAAATGCAAAGTATTTCATCACAGTTACAGCCCATGAATATATAACCTGCCTTCTCTATGCCAAAACCAGAAGAAAAACACTGACCACACATTTCTACCTTTCTGCATTAACAGATGTTCATACTTCCACTTCTTAGTGTTTCAACGTCGTAAGAATTAACAGATGTTTGTTACTACTGTCACTCACATGTTCTGTTCACTGTTTGTCACCCTTTATCTCATCTAGCAGTTTTCTGCTCTATTAAGCTGTCTATTTGGAGAACTACACAACAAAAAAAAAAATTCAAACTATCTGGGGATCATTCCTGTTATCCAAACAGGATGCCCACATCCTGATGTGATGGGCTGGGGACGTCCTCTGTCAGGATGAGGTCTAATACAGAACTCCCATACGATGACAGGGCGTTGCAAAGAAACTGACATTTTAATGCACATTGCCATGTAGCTTTTAGAAATTCAGATGAGGTTTTTGAACTGAGAGCATGGCCCCTCCAACACAGTCATTCACAACAAAGTTCTCCACACTAACACATTTTTTTTTTCTTTTTACTTACAGGGCTCATCATTCTGTTCTCCGGAGCAATTCTGTAGTCTTTCACAATCCTCTCACCTCATTCTTGTGGCCCAGATGAATCCAAAATTATTTTCTTCCAAGCTGCCAGTGAGTTGGAAAAGACCTAGTATTTTTTAATGAGGGGGAGAATAACACCCTTTCCTGCCAGTCGTTCCTTCCTAAACAGAGTGTAACCATTTCATTAAGCATTACACCTGTGCAAATCTTCCCCAAATTTCAGCAATACCCACAGTCCTTCTTTCACCACTCCAAGGAACATGACTCCCGATCTTCACATTGCCTTCTACTACGTATGCCCCTTGACATTAGAATAGCAGTGGCAACAGCCTTCCTACCAGCAGACTTGTTAAGCAAGCAGGTTGAAATGCTGAGAATACGAAGACTTTCCAGTTCAGGAATGGACATAATCTTAACACCCATACACACTATAAGAAACCCCATGTGTTAAAATCTTCTGTAAGTACTGATCATACATCCAGGTTAAAATTACACTCATAAAAAAAAACCATTCCGACTTTGTTGCTTATCCAGTTCCAGCATTTATGCATGGGTAAGTACAGAATTTCTCTTCTCACATTCTCCCAAGCCTTGATTATTTTTTGTTCACAATGTCACATTTTCTACAAGCACGTATCTGTCCCACTTTTTTGCTATTCTAGTTTTGACTTCATTATGCTGTCCTCTAGCAGATCCATTTCTCTTATTCTAAGGCCCTACACAAAAGATGAACAGTTGTTTAAGAAAAGAAACTTTTTTGTTTCTTTTTGTTTTCTTGGTTAAGAAAAATAAACAGCACTTTATTTCAAAAATTTTCCTGTCCTCTGTTTTCCTTAATTCATGGACAAGAAACACATCCAAGAAGATCACACCAGTTTTCTTCTAAAAGTTCAACAACAGTCAGTTACATTTTGGACAACACTTTGACATTAGGGTTGATACATGCTGCTGAATCTTTGACTTTGGGCTTCACAAAACTATTGTGGAGTCTTATCTTTTGTCTTAGATCCAAAATGACAGCAAGTTGTTGCCGACTTGCCCCAGGGAGAATATTCATTCCTATCAGATCCTCAGAACACTTGAAGACTACTTTATGAATCTCAAAGGCTCTGGCCCATAGAACGATCCAAGGCAGTAGTCTGGACAGATTTTCAGGCACATTTCCTGCAGTTTCCCATCAGACAACAGCAAATGGATACTTAACCGATGTGGAGGACTTCTTTGCCTCAGTAATAGATTGCTTGTCCTCTGAACTCTGGTGTTAGAATCTGCCATGGTTTTCTTTCAGCTTCTGCTGTCTGACTCTTTTTGTGGTCTCTTTCTCCAACTCCAGGATCAAGGGTGATAGTGCTGACAGCTCAAGAGGATGTTTCTCAATCTTTCAGTTCAAAAGGACGTTTCTCAATCTTTCTTCTCTGTTGCACAGGCCCAGACCTTGCCCCTGTGATCCAAGGACCTTTCCTGGTAACATAAGCCTCACTCACAGGTACTGCTAGTAAGATTATGAGCAAGAAGGAAATTGGTACTGCTTCTGAGCAAGAAGCAAACATCTGCGTCAACCAGCTGGTGTTCTAATCCCAGCGTGCTGCTCCCATTCATCGCTTGGAATTATTTAGTCACTAATCTCCATCACTTGGCTTCATTAAAAGGAAATAAATATCCAGTCACAACCTCAAATGGCAAAATTCATTACAGACTCAAGGGGCACAGAGACACAGTCCATGATGAAATGGATACTCACATGGCTTGTCCTGGGATCCCCAGCTCTGCCACACAACCCACAAAGAGCATGGAGAACAGATGGCCTAAACATACCTCTCCATGAGTCCCTTTAACTCAGACCACAGGATTCAAGGATATACTTGCCAAAAAAATCCTCTTTGCCCCGCCTGGGGCCATACTAAAACTTGATCCAGAAAATAAATTAATCATATGATTGCATCCATTCCTTTCTTAGAGAGCTATCCAACATGGTCTGGGAGTTATTGTGAAATAGGGATCATTTTTCTTAACCCATGCCTGACATTTTTTTCTTAAACGGGAAGAAAGTGAAGGTTAATCCAAATTCATGGCATTTCCTTTTAATGTCTTGTCAACGTTTCCATTTTCTTTATTGAACAGTTCCATGAAGGGGAAAACAACTGAAACCATTCATTTATCTTTGGTAAATTAGAGTTGTTCCCCAAAAGTCACATACTAAGATGTCAAGAGTTTAGCATGACTCTTTGGAGGATAACTGGGGGAGGAGCTGAAATGTAAACAGTGACAGGCACACAAACTAAACGAAGAAAGCATGCTTGTTTCTCGATGCTATCAGCAGAAAAGAATTAAAAGAATGTGATACAGTCTTAACTTTAGGGAATTGCTACAGGAGGAAGAAAGGGTGAAGGGAAACATTAAAGCTATCACTGGGAAACAAAGACTGATTTTAAAATTACTTGAGGATTAACTGCAACACTGCAGGTCGAAAGGGCTACCATCCCATTACAAAATACTGGCAGCAAATCTGGAAGTACACATTAGAGGGATTTCAGAACAACCCTCTTTTCTCTCCCCTTCATATTTTGTTTTTCCTTAAGTGTTTCCTACCATTTTTTCTTTCTTCTTTTTTCTTGGTAAAGATGCAAGTCAAATGATCAAATATCTGAAAGATCTACTAGTAGATTTTTTTTTTCTGAAAAGCAAAAGTGAAGTGAGAGATTTAACTTTTTCCCCTTCTCAAACACTGTGAGTCACAGCAGTTAAGTGAGCCCACAAAAAATGACTCACTGCAGAGCTAAAATGCCACAAGGCTAACTCAGTGGGAGACAAAAGCACACCAGCTATGCATAAAAGAGCTGCCTGGAGATAAGGCTAATTGTTTCTCCCTCTTCTAAAAACAGAAAAATGTTAGAAGTAACTCCTATAAAGGGGGGAAAAGTCCTGGCTTTTCAGAATCTTTGGGCGCTATTTATACATGAAAGCACACAGCCAGCATGCCATTATATTGTACAGGCTACAGCAAATGGAAACAAAATGTTATTCAGCCAAGATATTACCTCATAGGCGATTAGTCAGTAGTCTACTATGAAAGTAGGAGAGAGTTTATTCTAGGACTCTTCCTTCCTAACGGTAAGTGGATGCCAGCTTGAACTGGATCTCAGGCATCCCAGTGGTTAGCCCAACTTTGCTCTCTTAGGACACACAGCTTGGTAAAACTAGTGTTTATCACCATTAGCAACAGCAATCTTCTCCTTTAAACACAAAAAACAAACAAAACCACAGAATCCTTTAAAACTGCAGACCCTTGTTATAATTTTCAACCTACTCAAGCCTTTCACCCTATAACCATTTCACTCTCGTGCTTTTGCTTACCCACTTGCAAACCACTCAAAAGCCTTCAGTCCTCCCACTTCACGGCAGCCCCTGCCTGAATGGGAACAAAGCACAGCAGCTCCTGTGAAGAGCCTTACCCAGTCCCAGCTAAGGGAAGCGTTAGCAACAGAGTACTGTTTTGCCACTCACCAGGAGCCAATCCTCAGGTTTTCTGGTGGGATGCAAAGGCCATCTTACTTTTCATGCTAATCATTTGCAACATGATGTACTCCAGGAATATAATTAAATAGGAGGAGTTACTTCCAAGCTAACTGCTGAGCAGGACAGCAGAATTATTTCCCATAACTAGGCACCTGCTAAGTGCAGTGCAGAAAATGTGAGAGTGATCTGAAAGCAAGCTGATAACCCTTTCCAACAAGTACTTTCCTCTGCATTTCAGCAAGAGAAAGTTCTTCAAATCTTGAGTAACGTACTTTGCACTAATGTTCATGAGAAAGCACTCAACTAAAATAGCAGACTGTACCAAGTTATTACTTAAAATGGCATATGTCCCTTCTTCTGTTCCCAAGTTCCAGGGGAAAATTCCACTTTTCGGTCAGCAGACCTATCTGCATCTCCCAGTGCACTGACAGACTTTCTAGAAAGATGTAGATGCTGCAAGACATGACTTGCAGTTGCTCTGGAGCAGAAGCACAAAAGAGAATTGTTAGGAGAGAATTCAGAGGCTGATATTAGAGACACAAGCACTGCAGAGGAAGAGTTTGGCATCCAGCTACAAGAATTTGCGGAAGCCTGAACACTAAGTGGAAAGCTGCCAGGCCAGCCTACTGAAAATGCAGGCAAACCAGGAAAAGGAGGGACATGAGCAAAAAGCCACCCACATCCTCAATGAGAACTCTGACCACTGGGCAGAAAGTCACACATGTAACATTATGCATGCTCTGTGCACGTCTTGGGGATCAAACCTCACCGACAGACTGGGGAATACCAGCCTGCAACTCGTTCAGGCCTTCTGCTGAGCAATGCAGCACTGTCAAGCCTAAGGTAGCTCTACACGTGTCCCTAGGCACAACCAGGTGAAGTGGTTAAAGCTGTACCATCAAGGCAACATCTTACAGGAAATTCTGAAAGCACCCAAACATTGCTGGATTTTGGACAAACCAGTGCCTGAAGGCATGCCTGCCTCATGCAGTGGGATAACAGAAAGGACAGCAGTGAGTGTGAGCTGCTACATTCTCACAACGCCATCAGGAAATACTAGTGCTAAAGCATGGGCACTTCTGAGGGTAGTTGTCACCCTCAGCAGTCAGGCCCAGCCCTACAATGACACAGCTATAACTCTTCCAGAACAATGACACAGCTAGTTTAAGTATCTCTGTGCTACATTCACTGGGTCATGCAGAGATGTTTCACCAGCCTCCCCTTCTGAGCATCACCTGAGCAATTTAATTTCATTGTATGTGCACCTACATATATAGACACATACACACACATCTAAAAACAATCTACGCTACATACACAGTTTTGCAGATCTGCCCAGAAGACACTGAAAACAATCAAATTTTAGGAGCAGATCCTTGACCTTTATTGAAAACTACCACAAGCCATTTATCTATTCTGCTTATAGAGACATCCATTTCTGTATGATGGTTCTGACTGCTAGTAATTACTACTTCTGTTCAAAAAGGAAAAGCTGATTATACTTGAATAAGAAAGCACTCATTTCAGCTGGCACAGAAGATCTCAGGTTCTTCAGGGTCCATTGTTTAGTAAGCTAAACCATGTGTAATAAACCCAAATGATTCTGCTGTTTTGTTTGGCTATGTCAACCAAGGGAGCCTGCTGAATGCATTTCACCCATTTATTCTGTCTCAGCATCAGCTGGAAATAAGATTTTTACCATGTATAAAAACTGTGTCATACCACCTCTCACTGCAGAGAATCCCCCACAAACCAAAGGGGAATACAAAGCAAAGTCTTTTCCAAAATGAGTTGCACTGGAATTTGCCTACTCTGAGAAGACAGAGTTTTTTCTCAGTTTCCTTTATTAGCCAAAGATGATTTGATTCCCAGTGAATGCAACTCCTTTGCTGGGCAGCTTCCTCTTAACTAGAGTGATATATTAGAGCGCTGAGAGTTCTTCTTCACCACAGCACAGCATACACTACCTGCTTCTATAAATGTTGTCCTCACTGGTCTGCAAAAGTCCTTTGACGCAGTAAGTTAATAATTACCCTCATTTTATAGCTGGAAAACTTACTGTACAAAAAAGTGATGGCTTCAATCCAACACAGCAGATAGGAGTAACTTGAAATATGAATATTTATGATCTTAAGATTTTATATGATTATAAGTGACTTCCTTAGAGTCAAAAGCAAATTCCCAGCTTTAGTCTTTCCTGAAAATCACTCCCAGCATCCCTAAACAAAATCTTTAACATCAGTGTAGACACAGTTACGCCACTGTACTACAAAGGACTTTCAGTGGCTAGCCAGGCAAACCTGATGGACTAACAGAGACACTTACAATGAATGAAAGGGAAATGAAGTGTAGAGCCCATTACTTTATAGAAAAATATTTCAAACTAGTTCTTCTCCAACATTCTACAGCATGGGAAACATCATGAATTTTAGAAAAAATATACTTTAAAATTCCTGCAGAATGTATAAAAGTGCGACATTTATTCTGGAACAGATCTGAAAACATTCTTCTGTTTAATATATGGGCCTTATGACTGCTAATTCTAAGCAAGTTCCATGCATTTGAGAAACTTACTGTTACACATGTTGATTTCGCATGAATTAACACACAGAGGTCTCTGAATGGTTTAAAAATCCATGTCTATATTTCACTACAACATCAACTGGCCAGAATTTCTCATTCAGGAAAAAAATCAAAAGTATTAGTGAAAATTGTGTGCACGGAAAAGTCAGAAACACAGAACAGATTGCAAAGAAATACTTAATGGGCAAAAACAAATAGATATTATGCAATAATATTTTAAACATTCTTGGAAAAAACACTTGCTGAACTCCTTTAATTCTTGTTGGAAACTCTGCCCCGATTAAACTTGTGTGGACTGAATTACTCAAAGCTATTGGATACATCCGCTTACCTGCTCTGTCTCAACGAAGTTAGACACATGTCCGTCATCACTGACGCCTCGAATGTGAAACCGGGCACCAGCTCGCTCACAGCTGATGCGAGAGATGAGGCAGGCTTTCGCCTTCTTGTGGGAAGCATAAACAGTGCGAATGTCCACCACACCACAGATCACTTTCAGCAACCAGTCAGAGCAGTTCACCTGGTAGTGTTTGAAGGGCACATGCAATAGCTGGTTCCTGGAAGGTTCAACAACATACACATACATTACTGAATAAAATGAGACAGACAGGCATGGGTGCCACCCCACAACAATCACTAATTTAAGCATTTAATGTTTTGTGACCCCTTTTCTGTTGTACTTTTACTCTATCCAAAACCAAAACGTACCAGGGAGAAATCCTTGTGAACTACTACAGTGAAGAGAACATGGCAAATTTTAGTAGCACAGCTACCACCAAGGTGCTGTCCTTATATCTTGTACCTCTGTCTTACAAATTCAGATGCAAATGACACCTGTTTCAGCTCCAGAAATACATTCATATTTAGCAATCTTTTTCATAAGCTACAGTGCTGTTGAGCTAATTCCTTTTTGACCTGTACTGTCTGGATCTTAGCCTACACTACAGAATGAAGAGCCATTTTAAAGCCCACCAGGATTTTCAGAAAATTTTTTCCAAGTAGAAATGGGACCCATAAGTCAATGGACATATTGCAAAAAGTGCTACTAAAATTAAGAGGAATGTCTCTTTTAACCTTCAATTTATTTTACAATCAATAACCCAAGAAACCCATCACGCCTGGTTAACAGTGATGCTCATCTCTTCTACTGTGATGGTTTTCCTCATTTCTTTTTTCAAAATGTGCCTTTAGTCACAGGTGAGGGCCCTTTTATGATCATTTATTGCTCAACAGCAGATCTGTACAAGAGTTATTACATCCAGCGAAACCCCTGAAGAATTGTTCTTCTAGGGTACAGCATTGCTCTGAAAAAGGTGCAAGTCATTCTTACATTTTTAAACTAAATATGTAACTGAAAATGCAGCTCTAAAACAATTTTTGGTATCTCTTCCACATCCTTCTCCTAGCTCTACTCACAGAGTAAGTCCTCACTCAGACAAATTCCAGTAGAATATTTTGGTTGCTGCAGTTGATTTAACAGGCAGTTGGTGTTGCTTATAACTAAGGTCATCTGGCACTTTTCATCATGTAACCATTTATCCCATTGTTTACTTTTCTCAAGAATCTATTGTTTGGTCTGCAATGTTCTATATCACATAATTGCCTCAAGGTAAATTTTCTTTGGAACACCTTTTTGCCCTAAATGTGATGTTGTCATCATTCATGTTCTACAACATACAGGAGATTGGAACCTCCGCAAAGGTAAAGAGAGTTGCTTTAAAGGTTGTTTCTTTACCAAGAGACACTGCCACCTTAGGAGTTTCATCACCGAACACATCTCACTTGTGCCGTGTGTCTAACTTGACATGCTTGGAGAGCTTTTTGAGAGGGATGCATAATTAGCACAGCGGAAAGCCAGTTTTATATACCTCTCTTCTGAGTTAAACTCAAAACACTAGATCTTACCAGTCAAAATCACATCATAGCTAGAAAGATTATGTAGCCTGAATGAACTATGTTCTCATGTTTATTTATCATCCATTATGAACTTTTTTGCTTATTTAATAGTCACCTACTTTGGGCCACAAGACTTACCACACATCCTAGCAGCACACCCACATTTAACTCTGTCAGTTACTTTCCACCTACATCATACAACCCTCATTTATTTCCAGTACATCTATGCTTCCTGTGTGACTATCCTTTTGTTTAGAAAACAAAAAGGAGGGTATAGGAATACAAGCATTCTGCCAGAACTTGTAAAGCAAACAAACTGAATTACACCAACAGCGAACCCACCTAGTGAAGACAAAACCCAGCATTTATGTGTTTTCCACTCAACCAATACTTAACCACAACAAGAAATACTTTTTCTTTGCTTTATAAGCACAAGAAAGTAAGTACAGAGCAGTGTATCACAGGATTTTCCTTCTGTGCAACATACATTTACACTAAGCTGCGAACAATATTGATATTTTCAAAATAAAAACTAGGGCACATTACTGAAACATTAAACTACAGACTTTAAACACATACATTTCTAAGAAATAAAAGATACTTCAGCACAGATGACAGGATTTATGAACAATTCAAGTGCATGTTTCTATTAGATAACTTTTAAAGCAAATTATTACCAAGGACTGCAGGGGAAACTATTCATGACATAGACATGTTTCTGCACTGTGAGCAATACACCTTGTGTTTCCTTCTTAAAAACACAAAGTGTCCAGTTATTAGAATTGCATTTCACTATCAAATTAATTTTAATTAAACAGAAATTACTTGTTTGACCCAGATTAACCACGAATTCACTAAGACCATGTGTCCTGTAAAAAGACATGACAATGAAATGAAAGGAGGTGCACCTGAAATGTGTATGTTTATTTCCCTATAAGAATGTTTGACCAGTAAGACACCAAGTGGGGATGACAGAAGACTTTGGTGTAACATGCAGTACTAACCAGAAGAACGAGTTACCAGATTCATAGTGGTTATCACCCTGCTTCTGAGCCCGCACAGTCAGGTCAAAATTTGAGCCTGCATTAGGCCAGGAGAAATAGAACATCCCAGAGTTCAGTATTTTCTTCAAGGCAGTAACGCGCTCCTCCTCCTTGGTTTCTTCCTGGAGAGGACAGAAATCTGTTGCAGTAATTTTGTAAACTTCAGCGTCCAGGATTTTTCCCACCGACGTACAGCCTGTCACCAGGACCAGAAAGTGCAGTCGAGTGTTACCTAGAAGGTGACAGATAGTTACAGAAGGGTTACAGGAGGACACAGACTATGCCATTTCACATCAGTCCCGTCGCGTGCAATGCTGACAGGGCTCCAGCAGAGGCCAGTATCTTTGCTTCAGAAGAAAACATACGAAAAGGCAGGCCTATGTTCATTTACATTTCTGAATTCCTTCTGACTGCAAGTCAGTGAATGCAATTGCATAATATTCCACAATATTTATATATTCCCATCCTTTGCTGCATTAGAGTGTGTTTTTCCCACTTACTTTATGAATTGCAATGAGCTTGGTGCTGGGACGCTACTCAAAAATCAGATTTCACCACCCTAGAAAACTACAGTTTTTATTGGATTTGACTGAAGGTAAAAAACTGGTCATTTATGAAATAAAGTGTATTCCTCACTACAGATTTTTCAGCTGACTTCTGACTTTTAAAGATATGAAGCATTCAGATTTCTTACAGGCTTCAGCTGAAACTGAGTGTGTTCAACCATTCAGAAAGTTTCAGTGTTACCAGTTCTTCAGATTTTGCTTTTTACGCCACAGAAGAGTATACATGCTTAGATGACCAAGTCAATTATCACTAACCAGAATTCCAGCTCTCATGGCTGTGAAGCAAAATGTGAAATCATGAAGCAGCTGAACTTCAGGGCCCCGAAACTAAAAGGTAGATTTTGAAGCCTGAGAACACCACTCTCATCAGATCTCATGTACACAGTAGAATTTCAACCTCTGCTCATTCTCTCCAAAATGATAAAGTAATTAAGAAACAGTAGAACAATTGTTCTGAAAACACTGGTTTTGCTAGGAAGAAACTGTTTGATTTACTTAAATTGGCCTCTAATGGAGACAATGTTATCCTAATCATTCCAGTTAGTAAGAAAAGGTAGAAGTGAGCCAAGATTTATTGCTCTAGCATAGCAGAAACAACAGCTGACCTGCCAAGAGCAGCTAATTAGCTAAGGGCACAGTGACAGTCTAGGACAGCATGGTTTCAGACAGCAAAACGAACACTTTGTAGGACCACTCTTCAACCTTCCACAGTGGCCCACTGTCTGAAAATGCAGATTAACTCTCATACAACAACTGGTTCGTTTTTTTTTCCCTGAAACACCAGCAGGGAAGTCCTTGCTTCCAGATCACCAGTTTGTGACAGAAACTTGAGTTAGGGGTGGTTTTCAGCAGGGCCAGCATATTTGCGTAGGCACATGGGACTGGAATGGCAGGACAAGGTGGGAGATTAGATCTTATTCATTCCATTCTGCTGACTCCAGTTTTGCATAAAGGCCAGTGTAGGTGGTATTTACCAAATAGCTCTGTTCATCACATTTCTTTCTGTAACAAGGGTGTGCTGTGTTCTTCTTGAGAAGTACGTCTTCTGCACTTTTCTAGATGACACCACAGTGGAGGGTTAGAAATACAAAAAACCTGATAGCTTATTCCTCCTTTGCACATGGGTGTGCATAATTATAAAGGATTAAGACTAGGAGATACATCAGTGAACACCATGGTAGTTCATACCTGACTAAAGACTGTTCTGCAGCCTCCAGAAGGGGTTAGGAGGAGTTAGCTGTCTCTCAGGATAGCTAATAGCTTCTGCGACTTTGTTGAAACCATGCAAAACTGATCAGCTCAAAGTAAACTTCACTCATGAGAATCTGGAAGCAATGGTACAGAAACACTATTAATATGCCTTACTATCAGTCAGCTTGAGGCAAGAAAACCAGTAGCAACAAACTCGGAGAGCTGTCTGGCTGGGACTCTGAGACAAAGAATACAAGCACTTTTATTGGCTTCAGTAACCTTAAACTTTCAAAGAGGGTTCAGAAGAAATTGAATGGGAAAGTCAACTTTAAAATAGCTAAAAAGAACAAAAATTTAATGGTAGTGGACTTGTTATCTGCGGTTCTGTCCTTTGAGAAGCTTTTAACTGGTGCAAAATAACTGGATCTAAACACAGCAATTCTTTAGTTCAAGAAGACAATGAATAGGAACGAGGCATGACAGAAAAGCCAATCAAAATTACACATAGTTTTGCCTTACCTAGAAACTTGCTATCCCTTAGCAGAGACTCAAGATTCTTTTTACTACCTCCTCCACTCCACCACCAATCCCCAAAATGGAAGACACATTTACACATGCAGAGGTCCAGCATTTCTGCTACCCCAAATCACTAGCTAATGAGCTCAAAAACAGTAATCACAGCTAAGAAGCTTCTGCATTGTCCCTGAAGTGTCAGGACAATTATATCTTTCTGCAGCTGTGATCCTCTTTTTTGCCGCATGTAGTAACCCCACATGAGAGAGTTGGGGTTGTTCAGCCTGCAGAAGAGAAGGCTCTGGGGAGATCTGATTGCAACCTTTCAGTATACAAAGCAGGCTTATAAGAAAGATGGAGAGACTTTTTACCAGAGCCTGTAGTGACAGGACAAGGTGTAGAGGTTTTAAACTGAAAGAAGGTAGATTTAGATCAGCTATAATGAAGAAAATTTTTACAATGAGGGTGGTGAGACACTGGAACAAGCTGCCTAGAGAAGCTGTGAATGCCCCATCGCTGGAAGTGTTCAAGGCCAGGTTGGATGGAGCTTTGCGCAACCTGGTCTAGTGAAAGGTCTCCCTGCCCACGGCAGGGAGGTTGGACTAGATGATCTTTAAAGGTCCCTTCTGACTCAAACTATTCTATGATTCTATATACACAGAATAAGTCTCCTTACAGTACTCCAAATTATGGAGCAGCCTTCATCCTTCATGCACTTCATGATGCCTTTGAACAGAGGCAGGCTGCCAAAGGAGTTTACAGTATTACGCCTCACACTTACAGCCCAGAAAATTGGAGAAAGAAGTAAAAGAGACAAATGTATTTAAGCTACAATAAAACTAGCCTGCTTTGCCACTTTGTCCTCCGAGGCTGCTCTATGAGCTAAGGTGGTCTTCAACCTCTCCGATTCGCTTAAATCACAGGATATGCTACAAAACAGACAGAATGCAGAAATCCTGTAACACCACAGCCCCAGCTTAACACAAATCTCTCTGACTATGTGCCTTGGAAAAAAGTTGCAAGCCCTGTGCCCTCATATCACCTTCATCCCAGGTGACATTTGGACAGTGTCCCTAGGAATCAGCTCTGGGCTATCACCACCCTGTCCGTGGAAGGAAGATCCTTGCCCGATGCGCGTTCTGTTCTTGGCACAGGGAGCAAGCTGATCACAATGTCCTATTGCCAGTGCTCAAACCCCATTTTTTCCACACACAAATGTAGCCACAAGGTCCTGAGCACAGGCAGAGATCCTGTTAGGCCTTCACCTTTTTAGAACATCAGACAGCAAAATTAATGCTATTAAAACACTACTCCGCTATTCATCTTTTAATCATGTCTTCATTATGGTCTAAGAAATTACCCACCACTAAGATATACAGCTAGACACAGTGAAATACAGCTTTCCTCGTCTTCCCTTCTTTGCCATCAAAATCAGTTTATGTCTGGGAGCCTCTCCTTTCAGTCCCAAACCTTTTTTTACACACTGTTTTGTCCCAATGTCTTTCCCCTCAACCCAGGCTGCCAATGTTTTTAAACATATTGATAACTACATCGGACAAGTTTGTGATGGAAATGATAACTGCGCTACCTCCACTCATGCTTTCACTTAGGCATTTTGTCAGACTGAAAATGCTGTTCCAAGGAATAAAACAAAAGCATTATATAACCAAATAGTACCCAATATGGCAGAAACCTAACATTACCAGCCACAGGAAAAATGCTTCTGCTTATTTGCCAGTCACCGAAAGACTGATTATTATCACGGGTATAGTAAAGGCAAAAATCAGTCCATTTACTGCTAAATTTAAACTTTTAAAAGTCAATGTAGTTTCTCTTCTGGTATGTAAATGTCAACAAGCCATAATCTTTCCTGTTGAGAATACCTACTTAACATGAAAACAGATGTATCAACCACAACCCTACCTAAAAGCACTTAAAGTTAAGGGCAGAAATTGCTTCAGTCAGGACGGAGGTTACTACTGGAGCAAGTGGTAGAAAAAGGAAAATTAAAGTCAACTTGCTCCATTTCTAAAAATTGCAGATGCTAAGTTATTTAGTAATTGTTCATTCATTGCAAGGAAAACAACATTTTTAGATGACAAGAATTTACAAAAAAATTCCTTTCATTCCAAAACAATTTGTTTTTATTATTCAGTCAATCTCACAAAAGAATGTAAGAAAATGCATTTCTGGTTTACCGAACCCACTTCCTCAAACCGAACGAAAACCAATAAAAAACCCTGCTATTAACACAACATGGAATTTCCTATGGTAGGTGGATTTGTGAGGCAACGGCACAATAAAGAGAGGATTCTTTCTTCATTAAATTGGTTTTGCTGATCAAACCATGAAAATATCAGAACTTTAATGCAATAGATCAAATTGAAACACCCAGACATTCCTCAAAGCTAGAAGGTATTTCCCCTTAAAAGAGTCCAGACTATTCCATTAATCCCTGCAGCCTCACTTTTCAGACTGCAGCTCACTACCATCTCCAGTTCTGTAATTATATTTAAAATACTGCTCCTTTTAAGTTTCCAGTGAACTGGAAACTGGTTTTATGCAAGCAGCTTGAAGTACCAGACTAACACCAATCACAACAAAAATGCATCACATGGTCCAGTCAAATTCACATGGCGGCAACATTAGGAAGCACATTATGAGGTTACAAGCTTTGAAATGAGTTAAACAGTATTTATGTTCTGCCCAGAATATCAACAGCAACATGGAAAAAAAAATACTAAAGCCATGAAATGAGCAGTCATCCCTTAAGTGTAAGCTCAAATAAATCAGGAAGCTGAGTTTTACAACGTTGGCAGTGCATCCTCAAGATCAAAGGGAGAATTAACACTAAATCAATTCCCTAAAGTCAGTGGCCCTGCCAGTACCACCACCTCAGCCAGTCTACAGAGGCTTCCTGCTCTCAGGAGCTCCCTGCATATCTGGAGCAGGAGACAGGCCACACTCCAGTCTTCTTTCTTGAAACAGGAGTGAGCCCAAAAGTTCCTATCAAAAAAAGTAATTAATGGAAATACACCGGGTGGAAAATTTATGATAACTTTCCCTTGCTTTCATGTGCAGTACAGTAGCAGAAAGTATGTTATATTCAGCTGACAGCTGCAAAGTGCATGATGAATGGGGCCAATAAAATGCAATCCAAAAAAATGGGAAACTTCTTCCTGTGAAGTGATCAAGGCTCCAGCTCTGGCTCTTACGCTTCACTTCGTACCAGCAACATCAGCTGCAGACTGTTTACCAAGGCCCTCACCTCAGAGAAAAACTTTTTTTTTTTTTTAACTTTTCCAAGCAGTTTAATGTGCAGTCACGCTTCTCTGTATTAGCTTTCTAAACTTTACAAATAGATGAGAGTGACTTAAGAACACAGGAACTGCAACTGATGCTCATACCTGTGGAAATGTCCCTCATTTCCTCAGGATGCAATCTGGAATGTTTTAAACAAATCTCTGAAATAATTTTAGACCGAGAAGTGAAGTGTTCCTTACTGGTCATGCTTTATACAGCAACACATGAAAACATGAAAAAGCAAGACTCACCTACAGCACTAAAGAAAAAAAAGAACCTTTCAAGCTTATGCAACAAATTCTGTTCTCGGGTAGATGGGTATAAATGTTCATGCATTGTGACCAAGACCATTATTTTGCCCCATTACAGCTCCAAATCACCACAGCCATCTGTAAAGAACACTTTCGAAGAAATGTAAGAAATGTTTTGCTCACAGCTATGTGTGCTGAATGCCCTTTTATCAGGTTGCAGAAGGGAGGCAGAGGATGGAGAATATTTGGCATAGAAACAAGACAAAAATAATGCATCCATTTTTTCAAAAGCTCTTCTGAAACTAACTGCCTTAATCCAAGTTGAACAGGAAACAGTTCTGGTACGTCACACCCTACAATAATCAGCTGCAGTGTCTGTATATAACCTGTCTACATGACTCAGGGCAATTGTTTCCCCTGCAGTTTATGGCATGACTCCAGAGCTGCTTATTCTGAGCTGCAGTGAAAAGGAGGCAATATTCAATTCTTGTTTTGTCCTTCTTAAATGTAAATATTTCACTCAAGACTGCCTTTTCCTTTTAAAAATGAATCTGCTCCAGTTTATGCCCTTTCTCCATTCCAACACAGTCACGCCATTGCCTTCTGTTTCTTCAGCCTGTTCCATCTCCACTCCACACATACCTCTGCTTTACTTTATAGTCCACTGAAAAACAATTTGCAAGGTATTTTTGCCTCTCATCTGACTTCAAAATTAGCAACAGAACACAGCAGAGGAGCAGAGTCTAAGCATCTAGCTGAAAATCTCTGGGGAAATCTACAACAGAATTATGAAACAAATGAAGGTTTTCCAAAGCAGAGTT